ATTTTGTAACATTACACATAATTGATGAATTTTCGCGTAATAACTTAGACTGGTAAAATTTGTAGAAATTCCACGGAATATGGTGCAATTTTAAGTTAATAGAGTCTAGGTTGGCTCAGTTTGTCTATGCTCGTCTAGGTACCGGTACCGAGATCATGATTCTTCAGTCAGAAACTGCTAACAGCGTGATACCCATAAAATCTCATTAATATTATTTGATTGACTGATGATAGTCCGATTGCAGCTAGATAATTTTTGGTAATTATAAGACGAACCTAATTTGTGTAACAAAGCGAAGTTTACAAGAAACTGTAGTTCTTTTTTTATTATTTTTGAAGATACTTTAGCAAAAAGGATATTACACAAGAATATATTCGTCGTATAATAGTTTTAATTTCCAACTAGCCGATTTCGCATTGACTTTAAATCAATCATTTAGTTGTTCAAATCACTCATTAATTAGCATATCGTATCGTAAATTACAAGGTGTTAACTAAAATTTCTAGGGATAATCTTCACCTGTAGGACCGCTCTAATATTACTTGAACGATTAGCAAATGCCGATAAATATTAATAAAAAGTGTAAACTTAGTGAAGGGACCCGCTTCCTATCATAATTTAAAATTGAGTTCATATTGCTAAAATGACTATTGATATTGGCTACAGTACCTTTCATTAAAGACTTCTATGATTATTGCTAGTAATCAAATGCACTCAAGTTTATCGATTAATTGCTGAGTTTATCTTAGACACACTATAGTGCTACTACCTTTTATTTACAAATGTTAATTAAGGTTACTTTTAGTTCACATTTAATATACACCAATAATTCTGTACACTGCGCATTATTACAGAGCATCGTGTCTATAATATTTTAGATAAGTACTGATGTTATCATTTCTTTGAAGAAATCTTATATAGCTGCAAGTTATAGAATAAAAATTTTTCCTGGTTGTTATAGAATTAGAACTAGCTTCGAGAGAACTTTAAATTTACCCAAAATATGATACTATATCACTATTTATTTGATAATGTAGTTTAAGGCAGTAGTATTTCATAGATACCAAATAGGAAGCATCACTTCTGCAATTACCTTCAAAATTTATTCTACACGTGTTTTCCAAAGAAACTATTACATTGATATTATGCTGTTTTCATTTAGAATATGTCTCCTAATTTACTTTGCGGAACTAACAAAAATAGATCTATTTAGCTAAAAATAATCGTAAGTAGTGAGAATACAAGGACAATTGAATATCTTTTGATGAGACTAGTAAGCATTAATTATAAATTGGAGTATCTCAAAGTAGGAAATAATTATTGTAAGATCAATGTTTAGATAGAAGCATAAAAATATAATTATTGTATACAATTAATTATGCAATTTCCGGTCATAAATACACTTTCCAAGTATTGGACAACATCTCGCATTTCAGCGGAAAATGTGAGTTGCCAAATGATACTCAAGGCAAGGTAGAACGATACCTTCAATAATTTAGCACCGATAGATTGATCAAAACATTAACATTAAGCTATCTTACCAAAATATTTACTAAATATGGTCAATAGTATCAATATCGTTATTTAATTATTCCTAAATCAATCATTTCCTATATTAATATCATATTATTTATGTATGTAAGATATTTGATTTGCTAAAGATATTATTGCCTTACAGTTTTAAGCAAATTCATTCACAAATGGATTAAAATAGAGCAGCTGGTTACCGTTGTTAGTAAATATTTCATGTATATTTTAAGCAATAGCTTATGTCGTATATTAGATTATGATAAGCTATTAGCACAATAACAATGACTGTAATATGATAAATATCACTTGCAGATTAATTATTTATCCATCACTAACCCATACTACGCACCTTTAAAAACTTTCGACTTTTATACTCTTTGTCCGACGGATTGTACGGTGGAGTATCTGTATACACACTTTGAAGTATACCCACGTCTTTACCTACACACACACTCCGGATCTACAGAAAGTACAGTACTATACAGTGCGTCAGTGTGTCTTTAATTAACAATTTCGAGATTCGCACGCCCGTATTGGCGTTAAACAGTATATCAATCTCTTTTTATACTTAATACCGTATGGTTATAATAAACACATTGTTTCGAACGCATGCATTTGGCGTTTTACTGCATATAACTTTTTATCATATCATTAATCCTGCATAATTATAATAATTTAGCTGGTATACGGTACAGAAAGCACATTACAGTGCGCCTTTAATTAATACTTTGAGATTCGCATACCCATATTTGGCGTTATACAGTATATCACTCTCTTTTTATATTTAATACTGTATGATTATGATCTGCACTTCGTTTCGAAAGCACACATTTAGCGTTTTACTGCATTTAACCTTTTTTCATACTGTTAATACCGCCTTGCATGCCCATACTGTAATAATTAATTTAGCGGTTTTACTATGGATCAGAACACAGTATGCATGTACATATAATATACTACGGTATCGCACCGGGTATGACGTAGAGGCGTCGCTAACGCACAGTGTAGGTTATAAACGTTTTTCTAATGGATGAGAAGTTTGGTGTTACTTTGTTTAGATATAATGTTTGGGAAACATTATAACATTTGCAAATACCCTAGCGTCTTATTATACACGTATATCAATTAGCGTCAATAATGATCTTAATGCAAGATGCTGTAGGTGCTATTTATAGACATTAGTGATTAGCGTTGCCTCATTCAACTGAATTTAGCGGTACGCTGATATTTGAATGAAATACTCCAATACCAATATGTGTTGAATAATAATGTAACGACCATCTAATCTTTGGTAAACTGTTTATCAAGAAGGATGCTTGTCTTCTATAAATTGAAATTTATAATTGATAGGAGCTTTATCGGATGATACTACAATATTACAAATAAATTAATCTACTAAATAATGTGTACCGTAAGTCTGATTTAAAAGGACTTCGATTCATGTTGTTCGCTAATTTAGCATCACATTTATTACTGTAGTATTAGAAAATACTTTCGATACAGGAATAATTGGATACTAAATTTAGAATTCGTATTTCCGTATTGAAATTTTAGGTAATCAAGTAAAGTCATCTGGTATCTGGGTATTCTATTATCCGTAAGGTATTTGCTTCATTCTAAGAAATTTAAATTGTATGTAAAATCCTAGTTCAATAATAATAATTATATTTATCAAAAGCTAGCTACTGTCTTCAAATTTGCAAGGCTTGATTTATTAGATTACATACCGTAATTAATTATTTAAAATAGCAGTACTATCATCGCTTTGTTCTTGAAATGCAGAAATGCTAAAGTATGCGAATCCTGTAAATATATTTCTCTCATTAAAATAATATACATCATCAATTATAAGTTGTATTATCAACACTTCCGTTAAAAGATTATCTATCGTATTTATGAATCGTTTGTAGGGACAATGAAGGTATATATATATGTTAACTTTGCTTTGCTTTTCTAACCGAAATTATTCCCTCTGTGCGATCTTGGCGACAATTTATCATTGCAATCGTGGCGCTTTTTCAAATTTCCTTGAAGTGGAAACTTTGAATACTCGTTAAGGTTTGTACTTGTTCGAATTTTATATAGTAGCTTGTTAGAATATAGAAACAAGGGCTTTGAAATAGTGTACCGCAACAATATTGCGATGTTTCGGAAGGTTGAGAGTTTCGCATTAGTCACAATAAAGTACAATAGAATAGTTAACGGAAGAGTAATCTTTATTGAGCTAGTGTAAGAGAATAGTCGTGTAAGATTATCATGCGAGTAACGATGTGACTAGTCGAACAACTATAATGGTGTAGAATAGGTAAAGCGTGCAAGCTTACGGTGTAACTGCCAGAGCTACTAATGAAATAGGCAAAAGAAGATAGCTTTTATAATGTTAAGAGCACAGCAGGAGGAAATTACTTATAGACACGAATGATTCATAATAATATGCTACTTCTATGTAAGTGTAATGCTACGGTATAATCTAGCTAGAGTCTAAGAGATTTCCACAGTGTAAATTGTTAAATACTAGTGCAAACTCCCGTCGCTTTGCTGACGGTTTACGATAATGTGTTCATTTAACAGATAGTATTACCATTTGTCGTGGACCTGTCAGAGGTTCAGTAACTTTATACCGTGTACTTAGAAGTACACACTATAAATATGATCGTTTATTAGAATAAAGAAATGTAGATTCTGAAATTGCTTCGCTGTAATATTAGATTTAAGCGTGTTTATAGACATAATTACCGTAAAACTATAAGTTACAGGTTGATTATTTTATGCTTAACCATTTTATTATTCACGATAGATAGCGATTTAGAAATAAAACTTCGTCAGTTTCTTGACTCAACATTTGTTGAGTATATCGTCACTGTATGAGTACAATATAAGTTACGCCTCAGACTGCGTTCAAAATTCGTTTTCAAATTCAATTAGTTCAGAAATGCTACAATATATGCTTGGAATAACATGCCTGATGATTTAAAGTCTGTATTATGATCACTTTATCCTAACCGCTATCAGATTTGGTAATCTTATATAACGACCTTAAAATATTGCTTGGATATTCTTTCTCTGTTATTACTAACTCAATTGCAGCAGTAACAAATGCTCCTTCTTCTATGATAGGTATAGTAACAAAGTAAAAAATGAAATTAAGGAGAATCTTATTAATCGCAGCGGTATTCATCATGACTACTGCCTATTGCGATAATGTCAATAATGCCAAAATAATTAAAGAAAACAGGGCATCATCAATCACAAAAGGAGGCTCAAACAATAAAGATTTGCATCCAATAGTGACTAAGCTGAATGGAAAGAGCCTAGTTGTGAGTATTCTCAATTAAAGTTTCGATTTAAAAGGTAGTTACAATAGAATCAGAAATTTGCTAGAATAATTAATAGCTTATTATTGTGCATAGTGGGACCATGTAAACAATTATAATGAACGAGACAACTGATTCATTTTAAAATCTGTTGAAATTGAAGGCTTGTTTATTCAGTTTTTTAAGCAGATTGTTGCTTAAGGTTAAGAATGAAACCGATAACATTGTATATTAACGTACGCTGATGATGTTTTCACATCTAACAATGTCGGGACTAACAATAAATATTCAGATTACAATTAAAAAGAAAAATTTGTGGTACCTATTAATTAGGTTTCGTAGTCTTCAAATGATCACGATACGTTTATACAATTCTCACCAAAATCTAATAAGATGCATTATCAAAATTTTTAATAATATTTCATTAATATTAAAACTAATTTTAGAGAAGTAAGCCGCCAGTTTCTAGGAACAAAAAAGTAAGTTTTGATAAACAATATGAAAATTTTAGTGTAAAGAATTCGGATTTCCGCTCAATTTTATAGATTTATTTATGTTAAACGATACTTAGCAGATGCTTGATGGATAAATACATTATTAAAAATTATTTTTTTTGTAGAAAAAAATTTCGACTTCGCTTAGCCCTTCCATCTTCATGCGTGTGAGTGCACACTTAATAAAATAAAAATTCCATAGATACTCTACTTTAAAATCTGTGACAGAATCTATGATGAACTCCATAATAAAAAATCGAAGTTATGGCTAATACAGTGTAGGTATTCACTTAGAACTCTATTCGGTGAAAATTACTGTAGATACTTGAATCTTTATACCAATTTCGAACGCTTTATATAATCAGAATCTGTAATAATAATAGCGTTCAGTGTTCTAATGATCTTTGTTTGGTAATAGAATCTCTGACATAGATCTTTGAAACCTGCAGGCTTATTGATATGTTTGAATTCATTATATATCGTTAATACGAATATAGTATTAGTAATTTAGTATCAATGTTCTTAACGCGTTGCCAAACGCACGTACTAATAAAACGATCACCACTAATATACTATAACATTAAATAATTATTATATCTTAGAGAGATGATCCGTTGCTATGGATATTGTCCGTCTATCTAAATGTAAGTACCTGATAGATCCCAATTGAATGTAGCCCTTTGACCTTAATAGCAGATTTAATAGCTGTGCTTAATTATTCTATGTGTTTATTCCTACAACAAATTTCTATCACAAGTGTTTGTATGTTAACTATTTCGATCAAGGCTTATACTTTGAATGACACTGTTAACGTTTCGCTTAATGTTATAATAGCAAAATCGGCCACTACCACCTTTAAAACCAATCAAGTTGCGTGTAAGTACTATGGACTATACATATTAGGATTCTATCAAAATTACAGAATAAGCTTACGTTATATAGCTAAAGCTACTTTTTGATTCATAGTGGTAAGAACCGCTAACGATTTCTTTTCGTGTAAGCGCACACGCTAAGAGTCCTATGTAGCATCCTATATATGCTGACGCAATAAACTAGCTGATATAATTTCCATTAAAACTTGAATCTAACTTAACGTAATAATATGCATATTCTGATAGCAAGATCCCACTGATCCTCCTCCTCCTATTTACTTTCGGGTAGGTACGATGTGGAAGACATACTCGTCACATTATCGTACGTACAAATTTACAATCTTATAAGTTGTATCTAAAATACTTTATTACAGCAAGAGCCGACATCGCCACCTCCATCGCCTTCACAAGAAATACCTATCTACTTTAGAGTAGGTGCTAACGCTGTACTCTACATACAGTATAAAATAGTTACTTATGCTATTAGAATAAATTAGTATAATTATGCAGGTAGTGCCTCTCCTGATTATATTGTAAACTATTACAGCAAGATAATACCCCACCACCACCATCGCAACAAGTACCCATATACTTTCGTGTAAGTTTATCGCAACTGGATTGACGTTTTACTGCGTGTTAGCTATCAATTCTGGACATTATATATTTTTATTTTCATTACTATTTACGATTAGCAAGATGACTCATCTCCAGCTCTTCCATCTCCTGCATTGTCACCCTTATACTTTAATGTAAGTAAATTACATGTTACACTGATCTACTGGTTAAATACAGCATTTCTTGAAAATAATAGCAGCGCATATTAGCGAGGATCGTTCGCACTTTTAATTCATTTGCGGTACTAACATTTCGTGCAACACGATCTCAATAGCAAGCAATGCCAAATATACGGCACTCCCACAAGACTTGCTTTAAGTACTGTATTACACTTTATATACAGTAATACATTGTACGGGGGTAATTGATGGGCATCGTAGTTACGTTGTAGATAATAACAAGGTGTGAATATAAAGTAGTGATTTCTTTATCAAGCACTTACAGCTTATCATGGCTAATCGATATCAATTTGGTTTAAATTCAGAAAATGAAATATTTATAAATAAACACTATAAATATTGTGACAGTTCTTAAAGCTTATTGCTATGAAAATAGATGATAATGTTAATGTTTAATTAACTGCAAGAAAGCAAAATAAGCATATCAAACTATGTGTTACAGAGACCAAATCTACCTTCACCTTACGAGACTACGTTATTGACGGTAAGTGAACGTAAAACATAATAAATCAGTTTTATCTTGTGAATGCTTTGGCAATTATCTAGCTAGCTGGTGCACATACGGTACTTACAGACTAGGCTACATGAAAATACGAATTATGCTACTCGATAATATTCCTTGCAGTGGGTCACAATACTTTACAGACGACAGTTGATGAATACTGTCATCCTGCTATTAGTAATTTTTTAATTTATTGTAGCCAAATGAATTCCCTATACCCCTTTCGCGTGAATATTATTCGGTAAGTGTAAACTGATTTATAATCATGTAAGATACCATTACATTTTTAAGTATTGCCTAGTGGGTACTTGTCAACTAAGTGTCATCATTAAATATTCTAATTTCGGAAAATTCATTATACAGTATTATTTATATAATCATATACGTATATACGTACATAATTGTTTCGTTCCTTGCCATATTGGGGCATAAGGCTTACTAAATAAAATAATTTAAAATGCAATTCCTATTAGGCTATTTAATTTTAAGGATTGTTGAGTTACTTAGTTCTCTCTGTTGACAACCGCCTTGAATTTTACGTTGCAGACGTAAATATTGAAATAAAAATTGATGGTTATGATAACGTTAAAAATTAGTCTTCTAATAATTAGTATACATTAAATAATTAACTTTTGCCTCACTGTATTCTCTGGTTGAGTTGTAGTTGAAAGTATCCTCAAATGCTTTAGTATGTAGTATAAACTTAATATTTTTATCTTTGCCAAAAACAGAATTATTCTTCAAGTTCTATTAACGTGTATAAAGTTTCAATGAGAAGCTGGGATAAATAAGGAATTTCATAGTTATATCTATTTTATCCTGAATATTTTAATTTAATTTCATATGATCATATCACAGCCACTGGATATTCCATGTTGACATTATGTACCAATTTTTTAAAATAATTTCAGAACTTGCCCTTGCTATGGTACCTTTCGGCTAGATTTCGTGTAAGTAAAGAAAAATATTAGATACCCATGTAAATTTCGATACGTTAGTGGATATACAACTGAAACTATTTTAAAATAATACGGTATAGGTTATACACAACAGTACTCGTATTAAACAGATCAATTCATATTTATACTTTACAACTAGTAAAATTTTAATACGATGTTTTTACTGGTTTATATGTAAAATAATAGCAAGAATTTGCATTATCCTTCCTCTCTCAGGTAAGTTTTATGGTAATTTTAAGTAGAGTAAGTAGACTTGTGTTGCAGATATACATGCTTTACATACTCACATCGCTATTGTCTGAAGAGCGGCTACTGACATGGGTATTTAGACTACATATATGTTTATACACGTATTTCAGTACAGTATTCAGTATTTTTAACCTTTCAAGAGCCAATTCAATCATATCGTAAAGTTACTCTTGCTTTAAAACATATAGGAATGAGGATACTTGAGAGGGATTTTATTTACCGTAAATACTCTAGCTAAAGTTAAATAATTATGCTAGCGTGATATCATAAACTCTCGTTGCTCCTAAGAGGATTTTTTATCTTCGTTGCTGAGAGGTCGTAAGAGATTTTACCATTTTCTTGGTGAACGTACGTTAATCTAGTTATAGCAGGTATTAGGGTTTGAAGTTAGTCGTAGTGTATTTGTCGATATCTCCAGCTTTAAACTGATTATAAATAAAGAACTTATTGTCAGAAGCAGCCAAAAATTCAATCATGATAATATGTGATACTACAACTTTTGCTATAGCATTCACAACGAAAGGTACCTTCCCGATTGGTAGACAAGATAATGAAGGTTTGTTTTATTCATACTATCAGGCGTATAAAACTGTGCAGGGTAAGAAATAAATTAAGTCAGGAGGGAAGGAAGATACTTTAGATCAGTTAACCATCATATCAGACCTTTCAATGCAGTTAATATGTGCTTAAAAATTCTAATTCTATTCCAAACTCGTAATGATACTAAATTGTTAATACATAAAAACAGTAACTATCAACTGGTTAACTGTTGCCTCCCACATGCTGCATGGTCACTACAGATAAGATCGATTCCATGTTATAGATGTTTTACGTAAGCGAAAGCGATTATGATCAGATTGTTAGGCATTTGTGTACGATCGAGCTCAATGAATGTGTTTGTAAATATGAATTACAGTGAGATAAACACATCCTTAGAGCTCCATTCTACTACTGTACAAGGTAGCTCGATTATTTATAGGATTGCCTATGTGTAAACTCCATACCTATTCCTAACGCGTCATTTATATACATCTATGGTAAAGCATAGTCATTTGCGGACACTGCATGGATAATTGTTATAAATTCTTAGTATTCAGGTATATAGATGCTATAACTTACAATCTGAAATTATCAAATTTAGTAAGAGTAGTGATAATTCGTATAATTAATGAAAACTGCGGTATGTTTATGTAGTACTACTATAGCCCGTGCAGCCTTATTACATCAAAAGTTAGACTGTCATTTATGTATTTAATTCATTCTAGAATATTGAATCTATGGAACAATAAATGAATCTGAAGGTAAAACTTGAAACATAAGTTTTAATGCAAATACCATTAAGAACATTCTCATACAATTGCAGTGCTGTAACTCTTAAACGACTACAAGCAATGACTAATCATAATATCGATTTTATTGAAAACCGTATCAGAATACTGGGATCTCAAGAGTCGTGTGTACACCTTATCTGTTAAGAAGAGTTTGATATCGAATATTTCCGGCGCTATTAATATGACTTCGTAATCATGGTTCGAATAAGTAAACATAGTTATAATCAACCTCGAAACTGTATTCGTATGATACAATAACGTTATGTTAGAAATAGAGTAGCCATGCGTCCATAGATACGATGCATCATATCTACTATATATATATATATATATATATATATATATCAATATACACGTATACATTCTAATAGACATAAATTACGATAAACTTAAACGTCTCTTATACTACTAATAATATAATTAATTATTAACTAAGCAATAAATTGAGAATACGAGTAAATACCAAGATAAGCTACTTATATTGTTAAATGACGTATTTATGTAGTACAATAATCTCAATAGCAACTAAAAAGGAACTACAGCCTTTTTGTAGCAACAAATAAAGAATCATAATACGTTGTGCCAATAAAAGCACTGTATTTCCTGTGAAGATATTCAGTCCTTTTGAATATTTGGTGATCAACAGGGAAGACTATTTGAATGTATTAAGTAAATGAATGTGCCTCCGCATAATCGTACAGTATATTTCTTTCCTTATTGTTAAATCGTAGCGTGCGAATACTTCTAAACTCTCAGTAACCGATAAGAATGAATGCAAAGAATCATGCAATACAATAATATAATAGTATGCGCTAGTAAATACGTAACATAAATCCGCAACACTTATTTAAGTTCAAATATTCCGTTCAGCTTTTGCCGGTGCATGATGTAGAGATAAAAGATACGATCTGTACGTAGACTGGTATAATTTGGCATACAGCAGATGAAACTGAGCAGTGTCAGCAAGTTTCTCAGTACTAGCAGTGATAACTCAAGGGGAAGAAATAAGTTATTTTTCCCTTGAGTTGTCCCTGCTTTATTTTTCCCCTTGAGTCGTTACTGGCATTAGGTTACTAGCGGCTCTAGAGGTCCACACGACAGTGCTAGTTGTCATGTTCATTTGACATTACATGACACTTCGAATCTTAGTGGGAATAAGTATTATGGTACTGCAACACTGTAGGGAAGTAAATTTGTATAAAGACCTGGTTACAGTACAGTACAGTACTGTACTGTACTGACCAGATTATAGTACAGTACTGTACACACCACACGCTGGATCTACGGTACTGTACAGTACTGTACTCCTCAGTACCATGGAATACTAAATACTGTAATGTAATAATGTACAGTACAGTACAGTACTGTACTGTACAGCGCAGTAAATCCCGGTTTATTACAGTCCCCGACAGCATCGAGGGGCAAACAAGCAATTAAATAGCCGATTTAACGATTTAACAGATATCATGGAAAATTAATGCTAAACGACGTAACTCGGTTTGTTCCATCTACCACTGTTAGTACAGTACTGTACTGTACAGTATACCAGTGCTCCATACAATCCTATTGGGTGCAATCCATAGTCAGTGCTCATTACTGCACTATACTGTACACTGTATTGTACACTATTGTACAATGTACAGTAGACCATATGAGAATAGCAAAAGTTGTTTGAATCATTGCTTACCCCCTCTCAACTGAGATGTTAACTATTGCACACCGATAATATTTAAAAATTTTGTCAATTTACACACTTTTAGTACTCGCGCAAGACGAATTTACGTAACGTCCAACAGATATTCTAAATTCGGCCATTTGTTTTTGATGGACTGAAATACTGTACTGTACTGTACGTGCCACGTACTGTACAGTACTGTAGTATCATTGTGTACTGTTACTGTACACTCAGTGTACAGTACTGTACAGTACAGTACAGTACAGTACTGTATGTACGATAATAGTGTACAGTACATTTAGAGTGTACAGTACAGTATCGTACTGTAGATTGAACCATTTACAGATAGATAAACTACAGTAGTCAAAGCATGGCTTCCTTGACGTCTGTAAGACAACGTGTGCTGGATCTTTTCTTGCTGTAATAGGTTACCTCGCGACTTATAAGAAACGAGGAGTCGAGACGACCAATCCGAAGTAAGATCAATTAGAATTATGTTCAATGCAGCATTATGTGAATGGAACTTGATTGATTTTGGTGACAAAATTGACCAAGATACCGTTTTGTTTTCGATATGCTTCTTTTTATTTTACTATCGTTGCATCTAATATGGTATAACTCGTGAGAATTGACGAGATATATTACCCTAATTATAGTAGTCGTGGTGCTGTATCATTAAATTGGTGGATGTAATATTAGTAAAGTCACGTTCGATAATAAACTTTTGTGATCGTTTGCTCATTTTAGGCATCAATCATGTGCAATTGCTAGGAAATGTTGGAAATGATCCCGTTAAGGTGGATGATAAAAGTGTCAGATTCTCTGTTGCCACGAATAGGTCATGGTTTGTTAAAAATGAAGACTCAGGTATTATACTATAGAAAGTTTCTACTCACTTGTTCCACTTGTAAAAGGGTACTGTAGTCACCTTTCCCTTCTTGTACGTATGGTGACCTAAGAAAATGGTAACGTAATTTATATTTGAATTTGGGATAACTCTTCCTTACATTTATCTGCTTTGGGCAGGACACTTGACAACTAAAACGGAATGGCATAGCATCTTCGCTTACAAGCCTGCGTTACAGAATTATATCATGCAAACAGTAACGAAGGGGTATGAAGTTTGTAATACTACGTCCTGTATATAGATTTGCTACAGTAATAGTTAATACGCGTACATGATTTGCAATTGTATTTTCAGGCAACGGGTCTTACTTAATGGTAGATTATCATATGGGAGATTTGTAGATAGTGAAGGTAGACCGAGGTCTTCCGCATATATAGTTTTAGGTAAGCTTGCTAATCACTTACACACGCATTATTAATTTCACATTACACTTTGTTTGCAAGGTTAATATTTGCAATGGCATATTTTAATTCAAATTATTATAAGGGGTAAAAAGTTAAAAATTTATTCTTGTGCCTAGATGACCTCATAGCTTTATCCTTCCCTAAAGCCGAAAACGAAATCGAAGAAATAGCCGAGGAAGATTCATACGAAGCTTAGCGAATTAATAGCGTTAATTCCTTTCTATAAAGTAATAGTTATCCTGTTATATTAATCTAATTTATGAGCAGCAGTAAATACATGCAGCTATCCTTTTCGATATAGTGTAGTACTGAACATTGCAAAAGGCCGGAAACTGTTCAATATTCTTTATGTATACATTTCATACTATGTAATTCTATTATATCTAATTTTCGAAATCACGAAGGATTTCAATGTGGTAAAAAGGCTTGCTAGTGCTAAAGGTGTCATGGTTATCTCGTCGCTCTTCTACGTAATACAACAAAAACGATACTTATTGCGAACATCGTTAGTTTTTCCAATTCATTCGTTTTGTTTGCAGCTAATTCTGTCATATAAATAAATGTGTCATCATATACGAGTATCTTACCATACTGTTTATCGCGCAACAATTTACAGCATCGTGAAACTCTACTTCCAAATCAGAGACAGAAAAGTGTACATTGTACAGCTTCTTATGTATACGCCTGGATCAATTCGACTTGGGAGTCGATTCTACTAACACTTGATGGATTTAAGTCGAAATCGAACCGTGAATGGGTGTACTTATGTAATCCAGGATAGACACATTATTGAAACTTGCTAAAAGGACGGACACGCATTCAATTACTCTAAATTTAACCTTTAGGCAATGCATTTCTTGATCTTACAATAAGTCCAACGATAATTTCTGACTAATATCTATTTAATAAATTAGTGAGTTCCTCTAGAAATATTGCTATCTTTCCTAACGTACGACAGGTGTATTCTGCTGTACGGCCTGCACTGAGCTCATAGAAGCAGTGAAAGCTGCGTCATTTTCACTTTTATAGCATTCGATATGATAAGCTACCGCATGGATGTCCGTACAATTCGCCTATGAAAATTATCGGTAGATAATTATATGTTGCGTGCTAGTTAATGTGGACCGATATTACAGATTTTTCACTATTTTTACGTAACATTATATAATTATAAAATCTGATATTTATTATCCAGAGATATCAGTCTCAATTATTTTAGAATTAGCAAGAATCGTCCGAAGTCTTCACACGGTAAGAGTGCGGATTTACGTATATATATATATATTAAATATAGTACAAGTAACATTATATCAAGCACTACTATATGTACAAAATATGAAACAAGATGGATTATAAGTGTAGTTAATTAATTTAGTTATAAAATTATAAATTAGTGAGATCGAGCATACTCCTTTCGCAACCATTCCGAATCTTTGTAGTACCTCGGATCTCCTAGTTTTAACGCCATTCTCTTGTAGAAGTAGTAATAAAATACAGAAGCTAAAAACGAAAAATGATAAATTAACTATTACTTAAAGATTACTGGTATAGTATAGCATCCAATACTCATGAGGGTATCATCTTAAAGGCTTACCAACTCTGTGGACTACATACAGCGCCTGGTAACCAGGTTCCCAAATGTATGTACTTGAGCCTTGGCCCCACACCTTTATCTTGAGAAACAAAGTGTTTAAAATAGTGTACACCCACACGCTCAACTTTAGCGGTTTTATCAAATAGCTACAATAACTTTTTAACAAGATTAAACTGATGCGCAATTCAATAGTTAATTAATGAAATTAATTTAAACCTACCAATGTCCATACGTGAATACCCACAGAGATCAAAGCATAAATCACATTAATACAAATGGCCATCCGAAATTTTCTAACCAACAGATTCATAAGGCCAGCTTGAAAAACGTAAGTATTAAAGAAGACCAGGAATATAACAATTAAGTTGAATACCAGGCACAGGAGCTGGACTCTACATAGGTTTAAGATATAAAGAAGCAATTAAGGGATAAGGCTGTAGGTAGATTGCACCATTGCCACACTTTTTTAAATGATATCTGCAAATTTTCAATATTTGATTTTCGGATTCTGCAATTCTAGCGCTTTTGCGGTGCCACTGAAGCTTATAATGTGTAATAAAACTAAACTTCTACCGTTAGGCTTGTCCTCCTCGACATTTATCTAGCACAGTGCGAATGTATGATTCAAATAATGACGATCATCAGGAGGCCACATGCCACAACTACACAAGTTGAGTGGAAAGAGTTGTGTAATACAACTCTTTCCGGCTAAGATATGAAACCCGAATTTTATCAAAAATTAATTAATTATGCTGTGACTACTATACAGAAATATAAGTACTCCTGATATAAAATAACGTTCAATTAGAAATCAAGTATCAATCAAAAAATATTGTATGATTAGTGTTCATGACGTACGGTAGTACCATGGACTACTAGATGCTCCATATATCTAGCAGTTCCATGGTAGTACTGTATATTGCACAGTCAGGGCATGGTCATGGACTTCTAATAAAATTTTCTCTCAGAATTTAGAAGTTCCTGGCATAGTGTAGTAGCAATAGTAAATTAATTAATTAATTGGTAAAATTTAATAACAATAATTTACAGTATTGTATAGTAGAGATCTGCAATATCTGATGAACTTTTTCTCATTCCGTTAATATATATATATATATATTATACTGTATACAGTACAGTATAACATATACAGTACAGTATAGTGTATAGGTAATATAACTATTGTATATACAGTACTGTATAGATTTAAAGTACAGTACAGTACTGTACGTATGATACTTACATATAAATAACGAGTAGGATGACATCTCGATCGCTAAGAAGTGATCCAAAAGCATTGATGAAGAGATCAATAAGTAACAAGACGAACTGGCTGTAGATTATTGCGCGATATCTAGATACCAACATTATTAGATTGTTATTATACAGTATATTCGTTTTTTACGTAAAACACATTTCGTGAAGTCGGCAGTTGATTGGGAATGGGATCACTATGGTCAGACGTAATGTACTGTACTGTACACTCATGAATTTGATGACAGCGGTACCGTAGTCAGTCATACTGTACTGTACATACTGTATATTAATGGTGATACTGTACGATACAGTACTGTACAGTACTGTACTGCACAGTGTACAGTACAGGACTGTACAGTACAGTACTGTACAATACTGTATTGATCCAGATAATCAATAAAAAAAACTAACAGTAAGAAAGAAATAAGTCCAATCGAATTGATCCAAAATAAAATTAGTTTGAGTTTCTATAAACATAACAAAAACATACATAGCAAATACTGAGAAAATAAGAGAACCAACAAAAAAGTATACTGTACGGTACAGTACATTGGCTAAAGCATCAAATCAATGCACTGAACAGTACAGTACAGTACTGTAAGTTATTCGGCTGTGAGTACTGTGGTACTGTACTGTACAGTGTACAGTACTGGAAGAAGGCCTGGAATGATCAACTCCCTCAGGCAGATAGACTATTCTTACCGAATGATTCCGTAAGTATCGAAAAATGGTTACTTAGTACGGACCTTCCGTGTCCCATTTTCTAAATCACTGGTACTAACTTAGATTAAATAACATCTACGATTTTATATAACTGTTTCCAAGCAGAACTTATTAATAGATAATAACAAGATTCACTGGAAATAGTGAATTAAACATTTAACTTTGATGAACATTTGCGTTACGACTGCGCGCGCGAGTACGACATGCCTCTCATATCCATACCGTTCAACTCATAGGCTTTCTTATAAAAAAAAAAAAAATCGGAAATATACGCAACAATTTACAGAAATTTGTATGGATTTCGTTGCAACACATTCCGAACGCCCTGTACTGTACAGTACAGTAATATTACTTAATTTGGAAAAAATGGGTGCATTTAAAATCGATCGTCTGTCTCCATACTAAAGTAATGTCATAGCGAGGTGTTTGGCACAATATTTTGACGAGATGAGACCAAAAGTGTCCGTCTGTCCAAGAGTGATCAGTCCAGGTCTTCTCTTGTACAATTGTGCAACGTTCATATGAGATCCGTTTTACGCGAATAATAGCTTGGTGACGTCAATGATCTCTGTACAATGATTGGACATGGCGAATATGAACATGATTTAAAATTTAATAAAAACTGTCAGTCTACAGTATAAATAAAAAAAGAAAGTACAGTATAGTACAGTACAGTAAAACTTAAAAATATTGAATAGTGTACAGTACAGTAGTTAACAGTAACATTGTACCCGTTTCAGTACAGTAAAATACAGTACACCACACTGCAGATACAAATTTATACTGCATACTGTACGTACAGTACACCACAGTAAAAGTACAGTACTGTACTGTACAGTGTACAGCATAAGGTCGTTAGTCATGTGCATTGGCAATTACAAATTATACTGTACAGTACTGTATACTCGTATTTATTTACTACTTGCATTTGCAGTACAGTATTAGGTAAATGCTAAAATTCAACCGTAAGAAATCTTTATTGTATTATTTTGATTTTTGTTATCTACTGTACGTACATGTACTGTACAGTACAGATCATTTACAAATAAATTTTATTTTAAATTTTGTTTTATTTAATTTATAATTAATTTATATATCAATGGCCACGATTAAAGTACAAAATTACAATAAAAACGTCATAATCACGAATCATACAGTATGATATAGTGTACAGTACTATGACATTACTGACTGATTGCATGTACAGTACTGTACTGTACTGTACAGTACAGTATACTGAGTATAGTACTGTACAGTACTACTACAATACTGTGGTGTACAAATAAAATTGTAACGTTCAGATCTCATTTTTTTGAAGGTCTCAAATTTCAATCCTACCATCGGCTGCATACACACAGTACTGTACAGTACAGTACAGTACTCTACAGTATCCGCAACTACGGCTTGGCTATTAGCAAAAGCATACTAAGATACAGCACAGTACCGAATCATCCTTCTTAAGTTAATTGGGACCTGGAAGCACTGTCAAGCAGCGCGTAAAATAATAAAAGTATAAATTATTACGGTTAGTACAAACCCATACCAGTTAGTAACTTAAATAAGTTTTCTTTTTAAAACGAGATAAAGATAATGAACAGATCGTTAGTACTGTACATCTCTGGAATTTCTTTATAGTAGTTCTAAGCTCTGCATCGATCTTTCATTAACCTTATCAAGACTTTGTGGAATAATCAAGTATTTACGGTGTAGAGTCAGCTCGCAGCAAAGATCGTACGATCAGATTACTGCACTGAAGGAAATCATTCAGAATTTACAGTATTAAAGTCGCTTTAGTAGCATAATTTTCACAATCGTCGCAACGTATTTTTATTTTTCCTTGCCAAAATTTTTAGTATATTAACAGTAAAACAAATACAGTAATTTGGAAAGTGAATTAAACTTAACGATGTTTTTACTGTCTTACAAATAGTAACAACTTGGACACAAAACGGGATTTTAAATTTTAAATTTTATTGGAAAATCGTAACGGTACAATACAATCAGGTGGTTACCACACCAGCTTGGCTTCGTCATCACAATTCATTCGTTTAGTGGTGAGCCGGTACTACAGTATCTTCGATATCTTGGCATCCGGTATATTGTGCTGTCAATTTTTGGTTAACATATCTAAGCAACAATATTGCATGACAAAGTATATTTTACATCATTTACAATCAACAATTGTCAACTGCACAAGTACAGAATGAACGATTATTTCCCTCGTCAATTAATAAATTTGGCCCAAAGGTATTATAGCCAAACAACCGATTCCATAGATAAATTCTATAAAGAAGTATATCAAGAAAATCTTACCTGGCTAGAAGAGACGCTGTTGGAAGTAGCTCAAGACAAAAAGCAGAAGTAAGTACTTCCATAAGATAATTTTACTATATACGGTGCCGCTACAGTTTGTGATCGTGTCTTACTTATAGTAATCATTAGCTTTATACTGGATACAATCAAGGTACTGTATACAGTACAGTACCGTGTAGTGTTCCGTGTCCCGTACGCAGTTGCATTTACTTTACAGTATTTTGAAGCACGCACTTTAAGTTAATATACGAGTATATTTTGCTTAACTTAAATGACATTAATAAATTTTATCCGACATACGATGCAGCCTCACTCAGCTAAGAGAGCAACTGTTCTTTCGAACGGGAATCAACGCAATCTACGTAGTGTATGCAGCATCATTACTTATATTTGAAAGCCTGTAAGAATTACATAATAATTTCTATCATTATAGTGTCTCCGGAGCAGCATTGCTTCCAAAAACACCTTCAATGAAGAGGAAGCGCCAGGAAATCAGCAAGAAAACGTATTTTCAGCTAGATGTTTCCGAGTATACGATCAGCGAAGATAAGGAAGAGAATGAAACTTTACAAGAATCCCCCGTTAAGAGAGGGCGGCATAAAGTTACCCAAAATATGAATACGAATAATATCCCTCACCAAGATGAGAGGAAAAAAAACAAGAGAAAGAACAATCAGAAACAATGCCCTGAGGCAAAAGTTACGCAGAATGTTAGAATAACCAGAAGGATGGCGGCTAAAATGAAATACGATGATAGCTCCTGCACAGAGAATATTTGTAGTATATCATCCAGCACACCACAATCCGCAAATAAATTGAAAAATACTAGTATAGGAAGTGATTGCAAAGAAATTGTGATACCCTTGACCCCTACAATGAACAATATGAATCTGAATACCGAAACCAGTGTATCAGAGGATATAACTGCATTTGACTTTGGGAAAGCAGGGCTTATAACAACGACAGGGAAGCAGAATAGCAATTGCGCGGAAAATTTATCTACCATGAGTGCTGTTTCACCGCATCCTATCGCTAATGAAATCATGAATAGTTTCATTAAGTTACCAGTTAGCGCCGAATCAGTCTCAGGGGAAAAAAATACGATGAATTTATTATCGTCTCGTACTATCTCAACTCCAAGCAGGACTACGATTGTAGATTCTTCGTTGAACCGTTTCTTAGATGCAGCCTCTCGAGATACTAATATCAATAATGATAATGATTTAATTTTAGGGATGAACGAAGATGTTCACGTTTCTTTGCAAGAAACGCTAACCGTTATAGAGGGCATTACAGCAGAAGCAAATGAAAGGGATGTAAATCTAACCACAGATACGGTCACTTTCAATACGTATGAACCAATGGTAAATACTGAGCCGCTATCAAAAAACGAAAAGGTTTCCAATTGCGGATCTGAATCGATAAACGATGAAGAATCACAGGAAGAAGGTAATGAAATCATCGTAGAAAATGAACACTCATCGATTTTAGAAACGGACACGAATATTCTCGAAGAAAGTCCCAAAGATACAAATGCCAGCTTTAGTTCTGCTTCATCTTTAAAAATAAATGAAACACCTTCGGTAATGAAGGATCAAGACCCTTGTAATAGCAGAAATAATTGTAATATAAATGGCACTTCCGGCGACTTAAGAATTTCTACGGATGTTGTAAAAGACCGTAATATTTCGTATAACGGTGATACTCAAGACTGTATTACTGAAACGCGCACTCCCATGAGCATAGCTGGTGAACAATCAGGTAATGGTTATACTTTTCATCAAGTCATTGATGAAAATTGACAGATTCGTTATCCTTATTTACTAATGATAACGGGTCGTATCATACCATTTCATGTATTAAATTCTTTCTTTTTGATCTTCCTTAATTTATAGCAAATTTATCAAAAAGCTCCTCAAATAATGATGTCGTCATTTCGTTAACAAACGAAAGGTAATCGATGAATGATTTTTTTCTTTCTGTTTAATTTATGTGTATGAAGTTTGACGATAACTTCTCTACTACAGAAGTGGTATAGATGATGGTGATTTATATGACACACCTAAGGGAAGGTTAACATCATCCAATGTTAGGAGAAAAATTTCCGGTACGTGGGAATTTATATTTCTACCTCTATTATACTAGTAAACTAGATGAATAGTAATACTTACTTTCACGAGCGGCTACATTTCATAGAAGAAACATCAGTGGAATTTGTAAACACACCAGTTAATATCACTCAAACGGAGCAAATAGAAAGGTAGGCCTTGATTTGAAGAGTGAACATGCTAACATTACGTGTAGTCATATCTATTTCGAATCTTCGAAATCTTACATGCGTATTGCGGTTATAAGAGATCTTAGATGAGTGATTCTACTTTTTATTTATCGACTAAGCAAATAAGTCACATAAATAAGAACTTATTCTTAAATCATTTTTGTATGTTATCTATGGTAGCCCTATAAACGCTGACATAAACAAAGATCCTGAATGTGATAATATATGTTCAAATATTTCTGGAACAAGAGCTTTACTAGGCACCAAAACAGGTCGAAAAGGCAACGCTTCTGATCCCTGTGATATTGCTCCCATAGATATGAACGAACTTAATTCGGAGGACAAGAAAAGGAAACATAGTATGTAAATCTTGACATTTTAAAAAAAAAATCGGTCATCTTAACATGTTTTCTTCAACTTTAAACTATTAATAGATGGTAAAATTTGGAAAGATGAAGATGATGTTGTAAAGGCGAAAAGGTGCGTAACAATGAGCAGTCTGTCATTCATGTACTTGTTATCTATAGTATCGTGATATTCATTCTTCCTTACATATCCACATTACCCTTGCAGACCCAAAGCGGAGAAGGACTCAGATTTAGAAGATGTAAAGGAAACTAAAGACTGCTATGTTACACCGCCAAATAGGTTTTCTGTAGCTTTTGAAGATGCTATAGACAATGAGATTGAATTAAGTACACCGAAATTTGTTAAAACGAAAAATATTACTCCAACTACATTTAAAGTTCAAAAGGGAACGGTATCAGCCGTCGTTAACACCAGTTCCATCGCATCTCCTATCTCAGTAAGTGGCGTTAAGTTGTGATACCATGTTAGGGTGTTGAAGAAATTTACAAAGAAATATACCTATGTGTATATACTTCTGTCTTCTAGCAGCTAGCATCTTTATGCAAAACTCCAAATAATATTGCTTCCGGAGTTACATCTTTTCTGAAAAAGAAAACTGTTGTCATGCATCAAAGAGAGGTATTTACTGGCATTTGTGATTGATTTTGTAACATTTTGTTCTGGATGTCCGTCAAATTTCCAAACATAATACTTTAAATTGTAATTATACCAAGGAAAAAAAGAAAGAACTCGAGACTGCTATTAAAGCTAAGGCTGCCTTATCTCAAGAGAGAAAGCAGAGAATTGAGGAACAAAGAAGAATTAAGATGGAAGATATGAAACGGTTTGAGATGTAAAAATCTTATTTTAATGTAATACATCAGCTTATTAATTATCAACCAACCTGTATCCGTTGTAGTAAACGGGAAGAAAAGGAGCGACGTGTTGCTGAACATCGTGCTGCGAAAGCAAAAGCTGAGAAAGAAAGAAATCGTCAATTAATGCAGAAACTGACGCAAAAAACGCAGAATGATAAAAAAATCGAACGAAAGACTAGCAAAGTAGCAAAGACTAAAGGTGTAAATGAGATTAAAACCAAGCAAACTAGCAAGGATTTACCGAAGAAGCCCACAGAAGTTCCGATGAAACAATCTACTCGAGGAGCTGTGAAAACTACTTTAAAAAAGTCGAATCAACTAGACAAGAATAAGAACGCTGGCTGTTTAACACCCATGGAACAAGTGAAAGTTGACGCTACAAGCGTTCGTACTGAGGATAAGGAAAGTGACCTTGCTCATGGAATAGAAGCTCTAAGTGCAGCAAAGGAGATTAATGTAAATCACTTTAAAGCTGCTCCTGCTCAACCTATGAGCGAAATTACAGACAATTATCAGCAGCTGAGAGAGACTACCAGTCTTCAGCGGTCTTTATTTCAAGAAAAGCAAAGACATATGCAACAGCAACAGCAAAAAATGATCATGAAACTCAAGCAAGAAAAAGCCGAATTGTAAGCAATTCTAGCTAGTATTAAACAATGTCCTTGACATTTGCATTTTAGTGATAATTTTTAGATTAAATTAATAGTATGAATATTGTTGATCTTACATTGACTTATAGAGAAAAAATTCTAAAAGCTAAGGATAGCGGTAATGCTTGCCATAGAGGCAATACTGAACCAGTTATTTACAGTGAAAGTTCATCAGATAAGAATAATTCTATTAAAGGCACTTTAAGTGAAAAGAAGGAAATTCTTAATGCATTCTTCAATGATGAAAACGTATCCACCTTTAAAACACCTCCGTCTAAGACAAAGTTAAATAACACTGAAACTGAAAAAGTTAAAACTGTAATTTCACCTGCTATTATGGGAGTTTTGAAAGAAAGTAATAGAACCCAAGATAGTGTTGGAAATTCTATTTATGACAACAAAGAATTTAAGAATATTTTAAAAAAGAAAGTTTTATCAACATATGACATTAGCAACTTGAACAGTGATGATTCAACAGACGACGAAGATTCGCCTCGCAAACCTATACCGCTCTGGGCTAAAACCCCAAATTTAAAGATAGCTCTGAAGAAACAATGCTTATCAAATGTATCTAATCCGGATGAGATTTTCCCGAATGTCGTCTCCCCACCGGATCTTGGTAAGATTTTTAATCGTAAGCGGTCACGGTATAATAAGAGAACAAGTTCAGCGTACTGGGATTCCCCCATTATTAGTAAAACGTAATCATAGTTATGAGACAATGTTACTATGAAATCCTACTCACTCCCTATACACTTCTTAAAATGTCTGCTCATATAACGTAGTAATAACTCAGCAGTCGTAGAACTGATATATTTTTAAATTGGATGTTGCATATCTGTATTTAAGAAGTCCATTTCTCGTAGATTTAGTGGCAATTTTGTAATTTAAAATAAAAGTTGTTCTGTACATTTTGAGTTGTATGCTTGCGAATTGCGATACTCTTAGAAAATTATACTGAAACATGCGCAGTGTATACCTATACGCCATTGCATAATTTCAATCCTTTAATTATAAACATATACGTATGTATAAGCTACCGTATCGTACAATGATGAAAAGCGTTTGATCATAAAGTTATATGCGCATCTAATGTACTGTAGTTTATTTCAGGAACTGACTACTTCAGCTCATTTAATATCATTTATTCTTAAGATTCTAATCAAAAGTTAAGCTGTAATTCATTCATTAATATTATATTTTATATAGTATTTGTATATATACGTATGTAACGTTCTTTGACACCTTCATACATCCATTACTTGGCATTCATTCATTTTATTATCGCAAGATGAAATAAATTAATTAATTATTCTAAGCTGTCTTAAGTAATCGTATTATTGTTTCTTTCGTGAGTTAAATTATCGAGACTTATATGTGAGCCAATACGAAATATCTTTTAAGTTCTAATCTGGATAAAATAATAGGCATTGATAGTATTTGTTTAATTTATATTTTACTATATGTATAGTACTGTACGTTGATATATACTGACCGCAATATTCGCGTATACGCAATTACTCATGCATAGCTGCATCTTTATATTCAACTAAATACTTAAATATTCGTAAGCTGATATAATAAATGAATTACACACATCAATTGTAAATTACCTACTAGTTTAGTGTATTTTATATGAAGACTATTTCATGATTTAATTCAAGGCGACAATTACTCCTTTGTAAATCTTACCCTCCTGATATTGAGAAGTCTTTCGCATCAGCAGCGAGTTATGAACTCGTATTATATTATCTATATATGTTACGGCTATTCCTAAGAATAGAATCAACCCTAGTTAGGAATGAGCGAAAAATAGGCACGTACATGCAGCGTTACCAGCTTACTAATTAACACAATCATCAATTCAAAAATAAGAAAATGCAGATAAACTAAGCAATTAATATAATATAATCGGTGACGTCCTGTTCAAATTTTTACTATGCACAAATAATGGACAATTTGATGTCATCTGCTCGTCGATACAAAGTAGCTATAGTATATCAATTCCAAAGAAGTATAATTTAGATAAGAATCAAGTATGTTTTCTCCATTTATCGAAATTTAAGCATATATAGTACAGAGGGAGCGTGTAAGTCCTTGTGATTTAATCTTACGATGATTATTAAATATTTGTGAGCAAATGGAATAGCAACCGATACTGTGTCATTATCATGGCAACAATATCAAATACTTCATAAATCTATGTCATTTTCATTAATCTATTCAAATGGTGCTTCGAATGTAGTACCGTACCATACGGTATGTATCTCAAATATGGGATGTGATAGATAATTCATTGCTATTCAAAATTGTCAATTTTGAATAGCAGTGTATAATTAAATATTGCAAGACGTTATGGTTTTATGATATCATAATAATGCACATGCTGCAGTTCCGTAAATTTATTGATTGTTTGCTTTTAAGACATCCCTTGAGATAACAAATAGCCTTACAATTTAGATTTAGATACCGTAATATACGTGTCTATCGTCAGGAATAATCATAATAAACATTGTACAGAAATTAAATTAGAAAACATATACGCGTAGTTAATAAAAGTTGACATTTTCAGCATTTCATATCGTAGCTATTTGTTACTTAGTGATATATTATGCGTACGTATGTTAACTTATACTTGATATCGAATAGGATTAAATACAAGTGGTGTCTACATAATATCTAAGCAGCGACTAAATACTGCTATCTAATTTGGGAAGGATTTAAACCGCCTGAAATTACTTTGTTAATTTGTTTACAGTATATTAACCTTAGTTCATAGCAATATTAAATCGTGATCATTTCATTTAGTATTTAATCAGTTGAGGTTTGCGCAAAACTTATGGCGTTCGTTTACTGTAATTCATTTTACTCTAGAAAAAAGTAATATAACGGGGTGTAGCGTTTGCATATCTACGGAATATGCGGCGCTAAGCTGACAAGAATTACACCGTAAAGGCTAGATACTCCATACTTTAACACTTGAGTGCTAATCACACCGTAGCGATGATACAATTTCGCTATAAACGCATGCAGATGTGAGAATACCGTAACTTCAGCAAACTTCAGCGATATAACTTAATTACAACTTAACTAAATCCTCATGTAATTAATCTGTCTTTCTCTAATTGATTTGTAAGATGCAAATTTTAATCACGTATTAACTTTAAAATCAAATATCAAACTTTAGTGATTACTTCAAATTTGAGGAGCCCCATATATTCTACAAGTGTGATGAAAGTAATGGTTTTCGGCTGATTTCAATGACTGATTATAATAAGATAGTCGCTGCTAATATGTAGTGTAAATTCTGAAGTTAATAACTGATATTTAGCGGCAACATAACAAATTGGCGAAGAAAAAAATAAGTCAGTTGGTTATACAGCGCTAGATGATTTGCTAATTTTTACATTAACACAGGTATCTGTGCATGCGAATTTATATTAGCGACAGGATCAATTCCCCTGTAATTATTGCAGTTTGGGTGCTTTGAAGATATCTGAATCGCCATTGTGGAAGGTAACTTTAATAAACGGCACTCATTCCTATAAAAATGATATTCCTATTGATAACTCGGATTGAAATACCATTTTAAAGGAATTATTGCCATTTAAGTTATGTTCCTCGATACCACCTGAGGATATTGAAGTTCGCCAAAATTATGGTACTGTACGGCATACGCATATAATAGAATAATACAATCTAGATGATGTTTACTTAAGACCATCAGGCAGAGCCCTTTATTCTATGAATTTAATCTTATAATTACTTACAAACAAATATTTATAGTAGCTATCTATGATTCAAAAAAACTATTATATACACATGCATGGGGGCAACAAAGTAGCTTAGTGAAAATGGAATTTTTACTGTTTTAATATGAAACACATTACAAATTGATACGCAAATAAATATTTAAAACATGCTTTTCCTATTGTAGTCACGATAAATATAGTGTCGAGGAGTTTTACATGAAGTTGTAGGCGATCAATGATTATAATATAGCGGCTGAAGGGTTCTAAGGGAAAGCTATTAACTTCTTGTTACTAGAATATATATTTTAAAATATTTTACTACACTCATACCCGCTATTTGTCGGTAAGATTATATAATTTAGATTAATATACTAGTAAAATTTACCACCGATTTTTTCTCACACAGACGTAGATGTAGAAAATTTTTAAGGGTCATATCGCACTTGCATCAAGATTCATGAGACCATAAAGTACCCTCAACTGATATAAATATGATCTTCAGTTTTTTGGAATTAAATGATGAAGCTAAAAATTAAATTTTTTTTTTATCATATGAATAAATATATGTTAAGTGTATCGTACAGTCTGCTATTTCTCATTGCTTCAATAAGCTATACCTTAAAACATCGATGTTTTTGATGATCAACCCAAAAGTGGTTCAAATAATTTTTTATTTAGTCAATAGGTTGCTCGTGTATCTATTTCATGATTTAAAATTAGCCTTCTTTTTAGGCGTCCTTAACGCAATTAGCATATAATACGTATGACATTAGATACCTTAGCTCTCACAAAGTAGATTAATTTTATGGACAGCGGCATCTTATATTTATTAGTTATGCACATTGTAACAACTGCTTCTCTCGTTTTAAACTACTGACAGATTGCTCTGAATCAGAGATGGTCTCCAAACTTTCCAAAGCATGTATAACTTTTTATTTAATTAGTTTTATGGCTACAATTACAGGTGAGACCATCAGTACTAATCATGCACGATATCTTGGTCTATATGAAAATCATAATTTTCCTTTCTGAACAATTTACCTTACTTTATTTTTTGCTGTCGAGTTAAGAAAGCAAAACCAGATGCAATAAGCTGCCCATGAAGGTTTTGAGATCAATATCTAATGATCAAATTGGAACTGATGTCGTTGATCCGTATTTCCTACCATGGCAAGCAGTTTTTTTCTTTAAAGAGTCTCCTTTTTGTAGCGGTGCCTTGATTGCTCCTAAATGGATCGTTACTGCTGCGCATTGTCTACCTACATGGATGCCATCTAATAGTATTAAAATAAAATTAGGAATAACTGATTTGTTTCGATCTACTGAAAATCAGCAGTCGCTTAAAATTTCAAAGATGTAAGTAAATAATTCCAATTATGAATACAGTACAATACAAGTTCTCACGATTAATAATAGAGATGTAAGTGATATAAGTGTAAATATCATTTGTTACTACATTCATATAAGTATTTACGATTTTTATTTACCAATTTCGATATCTTTAAAGAACAGTTCATCCTGAATTCGACTTTCGAACTTTCTCATATGATATGGCTCTTATAGAATTGGAAAATGATGCAAAAATTAATGAATATGTAAGTCCTATTTGCATCGCAGAAGACAGTATTCATTTCTTCAATGGATACCCATGTTTAATATCAGGATGGAGTTTCTATGAGCGTAGTAATTCAAGACTGAGATCTTTACAAATCAGAACGATAGATTCTCATATATGTAACGGAAGTAATTTTTATAACGGAGCTATTTCTTCAACGATGGCTTGTGCTAGAATGTTAGATACTATGACTGATGTATGTCACGGTGATAGTGGTAGCCCATTAATTTGTCGTCAGCCTGGAAGTGACTATGCAGTGTTAAGTGGTATCGTATTTTGGGGACAAGGTCAGAGCAACAAAATCTTCAGTGTCAACAGTTTTAATTTAAGCAGAAAGTATAATACCTGCTTGCAGGAGATAGGGTTTTAACGGTACATCACATTCAGAGAGTAAAATCATAACTATAATTGCAATAGATTTAAATTTGATTCATTCTTACGTCTTTTAGGATGTGGCCCGGTAAAAGATTTTACTGTTTTCACTGATATCAGTAAATTTGTGGCCTGGCTGAAAGAAAATGCAAATATTGAATAATTGTGTATTAGACTGTTACGTTTGAATTTGATCATCTAACTCTGTCTCAATGTTAAATTTTCGAATACTCGTTCATTCTTAAATCGATTTGTTAGTATTATGGAAAGGTACGGTAGCCAGAGTTTTAATTTTAATAACTGCACAATTATCATATCACTTACAAGGTCTTGATTTTGATCATAGACAGCTAGAAAAGTTTTGATTTGACGATCTTTTTATTTTTCATTTTATTTTTCCCTTTATCAATTCTATCGTAATTCAGGTATTTGAATTAGTCCTAGTTTAAACTTCACAGTACCATGATTTCCAAAGCAATAATTAGTAAGTGATTTACACTTATTGCACATGTGAAATTAAGTAATATATTACCGTTATTACTTAAATTAATTATTAATAATGATGACATACTAATTCGCTTTGTATTGGTTCGGACGAGCTGTTAATTCAGTAATAACTACTATAGGGTGCAAACTGTACAGTATACCTTTGCTTCGTGTGAATTTATTCACATTTATGACTAGCCGAACCCCACACTATGCCATACGATTAAGAGCTTTGATATATTGATTGATGTTCTACTGTACATTCTGATCATGGCGTTTATTTGTACTGCCTATTACTACTTTATCATGTCACACCCATCATAAACGTTAAGAATTAAAGAACTGAACGTACACGAAATATTTTATCGCGCCGTAAGCTGTATTAAGAGTATAATAGTAACTCCTATGGCTCTTCCAATTCTATCGAGCCCAGCAGTTTGCAATTTTAGTGATATTATAAGATGAAATTATTCCTCGGACGAATAATAATTTCTGTGATGTTACTAACGATTCTGTGAAGTGTGAAGTACACATATAAGTCATTCTATGGGTCAACGGCTTGCAGCCGAAACTTGTAGAACTCTGCACGCTTTCCATCCTAACCCCTTATTAAATCAGTGATTTATCGCAATAGTAGTAGTCCATGACTTCACGTTTACGGTACGGCTGGAAAGTCTAGTTGCAACTCCTTCAGGATCAATTTCGCGAATGATTTTGGCTACCGTACTTCTCGGTAAATGTAAATGTTGTCGTAATCTTAGGGAATGCCATACAGTTCTATACCCTATCGACCTACCGGAACCCTGCATTTCATTTCTAATGGCATCCCTTAAATAAGTTTCATTAACGTAAGTGTGCCTTCTTAATCCAAATTCTCGTATTCGTCGTTTGAGGGTACTTAAAACTAATTGTTATACCATGCATTATTCAAGAACTGGACGATTACTTCATTCTCATATCCTAAGTGAAAGTAATATTTTATGATTTCTCGTTCCAGTTGCGTAATTTCTTACATGTTTTATGAACTTTTCTGGTAAAATTATTTGGTAACAACTATCAACGCGCATTTGCGCGTGCACCGTTGATAATGTCATTGCCGTCATTATAATTATCATTGCGTACACCGTCAATAATGTCAAATTGGCGGCATCATATATACTGTATATATATTGTCATATATATAACGTATGTATATATTATATTATTTATATATATATATATAATTAGTTATTATTAATGTTTTCGTACGCAGTTTTTATGTCAATGTTGTCAGTGTCATTGCCTTCGCACTGTACAGTACTGTACAGTGAGTATACAGTACTGTACACTACGTGCTATTTTTACCGTCACCATCTGAGCCTTCTGTGCCACCGTACAGTACTGTATTATACAGTACAATACAGTACAGTACTGTAAACCTTGATGACCTCTACTGTACAGCACTGTACTGTACTGTACAGTACTGTAAAGTAAGTACTGTACTTTTTACTTTATAGCTGTCACATCTCACTTTCTCACTAGCAGTTACCTACATCTGTTTTTCGATATCGTCCGTCGATTAAATGTGATGACAATGGCTTTAACAGCTATGAGAAGATTCGAAAATTCTAGAGCTAAATATCTTCTCTACTACAACGCATACGTAAGATTAAGACCCGAACAACAGCATCGGAAAATTGCGCTGTGTGCTGATCGTAAGTTTTCTATATTCTTGTCGTCATATTGTATTGATCCCGTAGATTGTTAAAGGCGACGGCTTGATTACCTTAACAACTTATTGATTGAATTAATGTTGCGTGTTGCCTGATACAGTACTCAACGATTCAAATTGCAATCATGCAAAGTACGTACAAACAGTGCAGTACAGTCTGTTACCACTGCACTCTGACATTTGGACAAATGTACAGTACAAAATGATTACCACTATGTACAGTATACTGTGCAATAGTCTACAAAACTTGCAGCAGTCGTAACTTCTTACGCTCAATTAATTTTCTCTACGCTATAATTGTCATTACCTTGTCATTATGAGACTAAACGGTAGCATACGTGCATGAGGTGTACTGACATTCAGTTCAGTTGCTGTCTTCAAGCCGTTTGATTAATGATGCTATAGCATGCAAGAATAATACAGTATACTGTACAATGCAGTAATAAGTTACAGCATCGTATACTGAACAGTACAGCATGCACAATTGCACATACTGTACTTTATGTTATATGCTGTATCATGTTAAGATGATACAGTATATTGTCATTGAATGTACATCACAATTTGTAGTCGATATCTAGAGATGTTCAAACGCTGTATAGTACTCAGCTTTACAAAAATATAATAGTGAACGCTCTTCGTTTCAAAAAAAATTTAACAAACTTAATCAAATCGCCAGCTTCGTCTGGACTAACCCCGGAACAAAAGGAATTGCAACGTGTCGCGCAAGATTTTGCGAAAAATGAAATGGTACCGAATCGTAAAAACTGGGATGAAAATGTAAGTTGTTCCATCATTCGTAATAGTCATACGAGCATATTATTCTTATTGCAATAATCTCCTCAATTTGTGCAGTATCCTCGCGAGACTGTAATTTATGATGCAGACTTTAGCGAAGCATACCGTACAGTAAAGTATTATTGTATTTTCGAACTTTATAGTTTAAGAACTGTAGTCATACTTTAAGAGCTATTACCATTGTTACAATAATATAATTCATCTGTTAACAGTTTACAGAGGTAATTTATATAATTTTAAAGAGAGAAGTTCGTGCTTAAGTATGCACTAAAGTACAGTACAACTAAAGTTTACACTTGCGGATGAGAAATAATGGTACAGCCTTTACTAAGTATTATTTGAACATGAAATCAGCCGTTTATTTAATATAGCCTTCCTAGCAGTACTTGCAAATTGTTCGATTTAACTGCGATATGAATGTACTGTATTTGTTATGACCTATTACACGTATGAACCTAAAGTCATATCATATTTATAATGTTAATAATGATATATAATCATCGTTGAATACACTTAACCACTATTATTGCTTTCCGTGTTGACTTGATTTTAAATTCGTAGGAGATTTTCCCTATCTCTACCATTCAAAAGGCTGGTTCTTTAGGATTTGGAGGTAAATCTGTTGCAAGCTACGCGAATCTATCTTGTTCTCGTGTAGATTTACGGACAGGGTTACAGGAATACTAGAATATCTTATTTGTTTAGAATATAATTTTCGTTATGCTTTTTATTTATAGGCATGTATTGCCGTGAAGATATTGGTGGTACTGGTTTATCGAGAGTAGATTCATCTATAGTTGCTGAGGCCCTGGCATCTGGCTGTACCTCAACTACCGCTTATATTACTATTCACAAGTAGCACTCAATTTGTAACACTCGTTAATATTCCAGTTCGATTTAATTTTAAAATTATGATACTTAGAAAATTCTTATTCACATTGACAGCATTGCAAAATGTTGCCAATCTAATCTTGTTACAATATATATGAGACCGAATCAATTCGTAAATACTTAAAAATGTTTGATAGATGCGTTTGTAAGTCACGAGTCAAATGCATGGTCGCTCTTGTTTCGAACTTTAATTTTTAATTTTCACTTTATTTGTAGTATGTGTTGTTGGATGATTGATAAATTTGGAAACCAAAAGCAAAGGGAGAGGTGGCTTCCTGACTTAACCAGTTTTCGGGTAATGTTAAGATTGGAGCGAAAAGTTATGAAGCCTTATTGTGTTAAAAATATTTCTGTCTGGTGATTACTTTAGATGTTAAATCTTTATTTTTTTTCAAGAAACGGGCCTCTTATTGTCTAACCGAACCTGGGAGTGGGAGTGATGCCGCCTCGCTAATAACTACAGCGAAATCTGACGGAGATCATTATATTATTAATGGTTCCAAGGTGTATAAATAAATCTAATATCTAGATCAAAGGAGCTTTGCTAAATAATAATCGGCATATTAGCTACTTCAAAATCTATTATGCCTCAGCGTTCTAATACTAATCGATCTCAATTTACTGCAAATAAATGACAATCTACATTTAGATGTTTATAAGTGGTGAAAGTCACTGCTATGTTGTAATGGTTAGAACTGGTCAATCAGGTAAGGTAATATTCGTATGTATTAGAAAGTTCATTTACGATATTTAAGCTAACTTGAGTTAGTCTATAAATGTATTGAACTAAATTACTTATAGATCGTATTTAAAAAATATATTAGGCTCAAAAGGGATATCATGCGTAGTGATAGAAAATGAAACCCCTGGAATTAACCTCGGCAAAAACGAAAAAAAAGTGAGTAATTAATTAGTGGTTTTAATCATTCATCTAGAAACATGTTGTCTTTGCTAGAATTTCCATTTACGAACTATAGTCGTAGATTATGAGCCTTCATAACGAATACATGACTTTGTTCCAATTGTTTTTGAGTTCCTGTTATTTATCGCGAATCACGAATTAACGATTAATATAATAAATAGCTTGGCTGGAAAACACAGCCGACTCATGCCATCATGTTCGAAGATTGTCGAGTACCTAAGAAGAACCTTATTGGACAAGAAGGACAGGTAAGAAAACTTGTAGTTCTGTGATGCTACTTATATAGTGTATGCTTGTAAGTAATATTAATCATATGTTAATACTGCTGCAATCATACAACTTCTGATTTACATCGTAAATCTTTATCGCTTAGGGATTTAATATTGCCATGCATGGACTCAATGGGGGTCGTGTTAGTATCGGTATGGTATGGCTATGTTTGCTACAGTACTAGCTGTGACCTTTCTATATATTCCTCCTAAGTGTTGTTTTGAATTGATATTTATAGCGTCTTGTTCACTGGGAGCTGCTCAAGCTACACTGGAAATGTCATTGGAGCACTTAGCCGTACGCAAGCAATTTGGAAGACCTCTAGCTAGTAACCAGGTTAATTAAAATTCCTGTAATTAGAAATATCAGTTTAGAGCACCCGTTGTGTTGATACGTATTACTGCTTGATAGTACTTGCAATTCAGGCTAGCGGAAATGGCAACTGACCTCGTAGCTTCACGGTTGATGGTACGCAATGCTGCCAGAGCACTTGACGCCGGTTCTCCAGATCTTGTGTCTTTATGTTCTATGGCTAAATTATTTGCAACGGAAAAGTGTTTTAAGGTGCCAAATTTTACGTGACCTACTATTAAGTATAGAAAAAATTCTAGTTGCCTTTTGAATTGCTTATTACCTTCTTTTCAATAGAAGCTAAATAATGTAAGCTGAAATTCTAAGATATTACTTCCTTTAGATATGCAATGATGCTATACAAATGCACGGTGGCTATGGATACTTAAATGAATATGGTGTACATCAGTTCATGCGTGACGCAAGAGTTCATACAATTTTAGAAGGTAAGACACCTTATAATCGAAGTTTTGAGTTTTGCCGCGTCTTAAACTTGTCAATTGAATGAAACTTAGGTACGAATGAAATTATGCGAATGCTAATATCTCGAGATCTTCTAAAGGAATATTGTATTCTTTGATTAAGCAATGTTTAAAGTTGAGGATATTATTATGATCTGATACTAAGTCCACCAAAAACTTTTTGATCAGTGGATTGTGTAAGATTAGATCTTGCCATGTGAAAAATTTGAATTATTTTATTGAAGCTGTGTCAAGTAGCGGTAATGACTAGTTACGAATCTTATCTATAAAATAGCTGTACACTATCCCGCATTAACTGTAAACTGCATTTAAAATATTGTAATGCTATATTTTTTGTTTATTCTTTAATGACTCTTTTCTGTCCTGCTGGGAAAATGTTTAGCTTATCAATGCAGGCATTCTAACGAAATAAATTTTGTATTTGTGAACATTTAATTGCAGTATCACATTTTAGCCTTTACAGTGTGACAGCATAGTATAGGGCCTTCTTTAAATGAAGATTAAAGTACATCCGCCAAAGCTTACATGAAATAGCTCATATTGTATTTACAATTAAATTCATTTATTAATAAAATGCTAATTCAAAAACATCAGACTTGAAAGGTTACATAAAAAATTCCTGAAATACTTTATTACGGCAAAGAGTTATTGCAATTCGAGAACGACTATGAAATCATTACATTCCCAAGTCTATTCAAGTAGTAACTCCAACATCATTTAATGACACTTGCACATTGGCCAAATGCAACTGCAGGAGTATATCTCTATCTAATAATTCTACGTCTATTTATGTCGTAGATGTTGTAAAGTATTTGAAATTTACTTTAAATTTAGAGTAATCATAATCAGAGGTGCATTTTTAGTATAAGATTGTATACTCTAGTTATACCGTAATCAGTGATTAAATTAATACATGATAGCACCCTATGCTTGGTACAGTAATGTATGCTCTAGTTAGGTATGTAAAGAGTCTACTTCACTACCCGCGAGGCCTTGTGGGAAAATAGATCGGTGTTTAAGGAGCTATAAATCTAATAAAAGCAACTTCCTAACTCGATGCACTCACGAAGTATTTTTCCGGTCATGCTAGTTTAAAGATACTCAATAATTTTATCGATCAATCATTTTCAAAATTTCCCTATAATTTTTTATTGAATTCAGTGATATGCTTATTTGTGTTCTATTAAAAATTTTAGTTCTTTGCAATGTTCACATGATATCAGTGTATTGGTATAAATTGTGCTTTGGCTAGAATTGATATTTTTGAATGTACGCATCTTCGTGCTATATTCGTCATTGCTGTAATAGGAATTACATCAAAGCTGAGTTAACTTACGTCTTCAAGCTAGTTTTTATTCACACATTTTTCTTTATGATTACAATCGTGTATAAAATCTATTTAATATGATCATGAAATGTAAGTCATGATTAAATAACTTTTAGTATGAAATCTTACATTAATCGACATTCAGTTTAAATGTATACCAAATAAAGAGGATGTAATGACAGATCGGGATAGCCTATAAACGATTAAGTATGTATTTGGTATCCAAATGTTCTCATTCTCCAATGAATTCTTTCATATCGTAACAAATTCCATTAGTAACTATGATTCATTATAAAATTGAACAATATTTTAGGATAACTGTGGTGTGCTAACGCACTAATAAAAAAAGTACAGCCTAATCAATTTTTATCGTTGTATTAGTGTCACAAACCAGCTTCGTGACAAGGATAACGTAAAACAAATCTCTATATTACTATTCTTCCGGAATTCAGTATCCCTTAACTACCTCACAAGAATTTAGATGCCTTTGATTCTACGTTAAACTCGACTAGACAATTGAGAACTGCTTTATTCAACTATCTGACGGGCTTATATACCCTTCTACAGTAGCTAACATTCACAAGTCATCTTATAAAAATACTTAGGTGAGAACATCTACTAACTAATTCTTCACAGTCGGACTACAATATGTCCATTCACAGAATCATTTTAGTGCACATTACAGCACAGCATTAAATTTACTGTAACACATTTATAATTAGAGTAATTCCTATTGTAAGTAACTAGTTGTAATATATTATCACTATAATATATTAACCAAATTTAGATAGCTATTTCTTCACGGTAGTTCGTACCGTGACAATTAGAAGACTCTAATTTTACATTTAGTATATTTTTAATGATTTAACTCGTGTAACAGTTAAATCTGGCTTACTACTAAGTCGATATTGTTAACGATGTCGTCGTAATAAAAATTTTATTCTTGATGTATCATATAGGCTGAAATGTAATGGTACAAAGAGTGCCTGTTCTTATGTATATGCCAAGGTGCATATGTCAAAATGTGCATCAAAATTTATTGTACTTGATTTACAAGCAGGAAAATTGATAGCAAAATTATAATGTTAGCATCACTTTTGAATACTTGACTGAAATATTTAGAACTTGATGGCGCTACAGGATGATTATTCATAATATACGCGTAGTCTATATTAATATTTGCTTCTATTTTATAATCCATCAGAAAAGGTTAAACATGACCAAATTTTAAAGTATCAGTATTTAGTCATCCCATTATTATAATATTTGTATATTGTTTTCTTAAATATGTTTATCAAATGAGTCCGATAATTGTTAGCAACTAACTACTCCCAGTTGGAGAACTGAATTTGTGATCAATTCATGCATACGACATGTACACAGCATTCGATCTATTTTGTTTAGATGAAAGATTATTCTGATTGGATGATGTAAAGTATATATTATGCAGAAAATTAATCCTAGCTACATGGCCAATGTTAAGTATTCTTACAGTTTACCATTAATTACGATAATAAGATAGAAGACTCACACTGTAATATTACGTATTATTTTTACTAGATTGAAAAATACCCTGATTAAAGTATAGTGACGAGTGTAACGTTTGCCGCTAGAGTGAAGAATATAGGATCATCGTGATTGTACTAAGCATTTTAAGCTTAATATGAGCATCGTAGTGGCTCGGGCCAACTAGCGCTAAAAAAACAAGAGTAGAATATAATAGCTATAGCTTTCCCTGGCAAATATTACTTTATGGTATTGTCTTGACTTGCATTACAAACTATTTTCACTCCTAAAATTGTCATTAAGCTGCCGTTGAATTAAACTTTCATGCAAGTGCATACCGGTTGTCTACCTAAATATACTCGTAATAGTTATGGTTACGACTATCTTATATTTGGGTTATTTCTATCCGCCATCCAAAATTTTGCATCTACTTTTTCTATCGTTAATCCTTAACCCTTGTCCAGCTATCTGTTTTCCAAACGGGATTCCTGATCGAGATTGTAGTCGAATACCTAATCACGGAGAGAATGTTAAGCGAACACCTGGAGACAACGGCTACAGTATAATAATTGAAAATAATCCAGGAACATATCAGGCTGATAAGATATACAACTGTAAGTTCAAAGTAAACTTGATAATTTTGGCTAATTTAATTAGTCCATTTAATCTCCTTAAAAACTATTTGGGTTCGATTTCAATATTGATCGCACACGTGTCTTACGCAAGCTAAAATTTTAAATTTTAGTAAAATCAGCTTGTTTATCAGATTAATGATATGTTACACATTGATTGAAATAGAGTAATATCTTCAATAGATAGCCAATTTAAAATTTATTAGTAAGTCTGTTATGACTCCTTACGTACTATCAAACTTATTTGTAGAGTTAATGAAAGTTTCAATTACAGTTTTCAACCATTCTGACTCTTCACTTGTCATAAATGAAGATAACATCTAATTTTAGGGACACTAAATGTCTACTCAAAAGCCTATCTTTAGTCGTTACAATCTTCAATTGGTTATATGCTGCTAAGTTAAAGACTTCGGACATTGATGTATTCGCTGTTATAACACACCGTAGTCGATTTAGTCTTACCTGCTTAGTAAAATGAATGATTGCAATTCCAGTGATGCAGTCTTAATTTAGGTAAATTACAGTGCTTTTCATGAGGTTTTTCTTTTACATTCGCATTTAACTATGATTTTGAAGGACATAAAATACTAGTATTAAAGATGGCTTGGCTCATATCCAAGAAATTTGTTATTATAAGATCATCCTGACAAATATCAGCTCCAGTTGTAATACTATGCCACAACTAAATTGTGATTCTACAGTACTGTTACCGTGCGTGGTGCATATTTTCTATGCTGTTTTTTTACTACCAATAAAACGCTTTATTTCTATAAAATACAAATTATACCTAAACATTTATAAAACTATTTTAATGTCGTATAAAAATCGGTTCTGATTATTCCTTTGGATGTATTCTATTCATTATATTAGAGTATATTTTGCGATAGACTGCTGCATCTTAGTCTTCTATCTGACCACCCTTACTATAAATGGTAAACTATGACCTTTCTAAATATTAGACTCAAAAGGGCAGCGAACCTTTACTTACTGTATTATAGATTTTTAAGCTTTCAATTAGAATTACTCTAGCTTACACGTATGCTGTCTAAAGCGATATCTTGTACTGATTCCTGTATATGTTAATTAGACAGAGTGATCGAATAAAATCCTACAATGATACCTGTACTTGCTCCCGACTAAGTTTTTGAAACGAAAAGTTGTTTTTAATATTTGATAGTCGATCTAGCTCATATATTGGTTGGAAATCGTTTTAATTTACAAGAAATAATACGTTAGTTTCACCATTTAAATGCAACACATGATTCAATTTGAATCACTTTCATTGATGTAATGTACTAAAAATACAATACTATTATATAATCTTATTGTAGTTGAAAGCATAAAATAAAAACATTTAATGATGATGTACAGTGGTACAATTCTTCAATTGATCGATTTAATAAATCTGAAAATTTTAACATTTAGCAATCATAAGGTGCTATCTTCAAAAATAGGAGATTTAAAATCACCTCTGATGCTAATTTATTTTTCACGATTATGTTTTAGATCAAGTAAATATCATTGAATGGGTTAAAGTTGAGAGTTTAGTGTACGAAAACAGTAATTTCTATTACAATACAAAAACGCCTGAAATAGTAAAGGCCATTATGCGTAAATGCTATATTCAATAATCTGCCTAATTGAGTACTTAGATCAAAATACATATATCTTCTCGCATTCCTTGTTAGACATCAAATATTTAATTTTCCAACGCTTTCACTTAGTTTCATAATAATTTTAACTGCTACATTTTTTATTTAAAATCTTTTTTTGCTGGGATTTACTGCATAAATCTTAGCTCTTAATGAATTTTTGCGTTACTAACTATGCATTTAACTAACAAAGAAAAAGTATTCTTAAAAAATTAATGTTAATTTAGGTAGTAATGAGATATTTTGCCATTTGTAAAGGTAAAGGTGGAGATATTTTAGGTTAAAAACTATACATTAAACTAACAACGAAGGAAAATTCTTTAAAAATTAATGTTAACTTAGATAGGGATGAGATATTCTGCTATTTGCAAAGGTAAAGGTGGTGATAATGTAATAGGACGTAGCTGACAAATTATAGCGTAATTTTATCACTATATATTTACATTACAGTATGCTAGGAAATATTTTAGTACATATACTTGCTAAGCCATGAAACAATTTAAATTCATCTAAGAGTCTTTAAAGGAAATTTTGAAATGGCTATTGTCTTGTCTTGGTGTACCGTACTTATAAAACTGATTGCTAGCAAATTGCATATGACTACGTAAAAATCATTTTATCACGGGATGATAAAGATTATTAGGTAATTTACACTGGTTTAAGATCTATTGAAATACATAAATTATGAAAATTCCTAGAATATCGCGTTACTATAGTATCACTTTACCTTGATACTATGTACCTATTAAAAGCAATATTATACAAGTCTTGTACATCCTAATTTATAACTATAGTAAAACATAAATAATTTCTTTCTACTAAAAGTGATGACACCAATTAGTTCTCGTAAGTACAAATTTAATACTGCATAAAGCTTGGTAAAACTTCGATCATAGTTGTGAAGGCATGATGCATGTTTCAATAAACTAATGTAGTATGAGTCAAATTATCTACCGTATTGACATCAACAATAACATAAAATTTAATTTAGTTATGATCTATAGCATTAATCAAAATTATTTCTGTTTGTATCTAATAGATAGAATTCCAATAATTGAAGGATTATATTATTAGATAATAAGATGCTTAATAGCTCTGAATTAATTAAAACAAAATATTTGCTATATTCGCGCACGGAGACAATAGTATTCGAAGGATGCTAACTTGCAGTAAATCATTATGATTATTTATAGCCTCTTCTCAGAAATTTAATACTATTTTATTATTCCCCAACGGCCTCAATTAGCTGAAAATGAAAATTTATACGACATTTTTGATCGATCAGTATAATTATTTATAAACTGATCTGATATCATATAAATCTCACCGCATCAGATACAGTCATGCTATCGAAACCCGTTATAATTCTGTATACTTGTATTTGTTATCAGATTTGAAATTTATGGTAGAGAGACGATGCAAAGCATTTTGCATTGTTGCTATTCTAAAGACGATAAATTCGTAATATGATATATGTGGAATCATGATCTTTTAAATTTATTAATCTGAGAAGTAGCTACAGCTAATTGTATAATGATATTTAATATCTAAAGTCGATATTAGCGCACTGATTCAATATTAACTACTGACGGAAATGATTATTTTGAGAGAGTGTGTTTATAAAAATTAGAACCATGAAATTTTTCGTAATTTATAAATAAGAGATGGAAAATTTGATAATCTATTATATAAATAGCGACAGCATTTGCTTCTACAATAAGTAAATCACTATTGTAAATGGTACTGGCCAGAGATAAGATATCATAAATGTATCTTTCTAGTATTCCTTATGGGTAACGGACGTACCTTTCGTGGATATGCCATTGAAGCTACCAATATAGCGGCAAATATGCCCTCAGGGGAATTGCAGCCGATTTCTGACGATGGACAATGTGCAGGCAAGAATGTCCATGGATGCATCAACTTGATTTCTCATTGCAATAACCGAGACAAATATTTCGTTAAATTTAAATGGATAGCACCTAAAAATGGGAGCGGTTGCATAATTTTTCGGTAAGAGAACTAATCGAAATATCTTTTACTCCTCAATAAGATGAGGTAGCAAAATTATTTCCGAATGCCTGATCTTATATAAATGGTATATATATATTCACATTATATATTAAACTTCGTATGAACCTGAAGTAAAGTAATAGGCTAAAAATACGTAACATGAAAGTTCGCAGACTGAAAATGCTCTAATATTAAACAACTTATACTCCATAGTGGTGTAACTAATACTTTATTTCGTTTTTTAAGTTAATATATTAAATTAAATCTTATCCCTCATTCTTTTGTAATGCAATTGCCTTCATATTCGCCCAACCTCAAGATCCATACTAGATCAGCCCGATGTTCTAAGATTATTATTTGTTTAGCATGTTGTCTTTACAAAATATCTTTAATACTCTATTTTCTATGCAAATACCAATATTGAATCTAGTTTGAGATCCTAACAAATATTGTAGTTTCAGGTGTTAATCAAATATGGCAGAACTTGCGATCATATTCTTAATGCAAATTAATGTAGCTGTGTTCTTACAAAAGACAACATAAATACAAGAAGGATTAGTTTACATGTTCTGTAATTATATTTACCCGAAAATGTACGTACATCTAGTTGTTTAACTGATGTTATGATATTGTGACATAACGATTAATGGCATATTTACCAAAAGCTTATTTTAAAAGACCGAAAATTATTTATCAACTACAAGCCTATGGTAACAATCTTAAGAGAGATTTCTAAGTAAATTGCATTACTTGGCAAGATTTATTGTATTAGCAATGCTATTAATAGTAACTATTCCAACAATTTTATAATGAAGAATAATAATAGATATTCTCATATTTAATATTACATCTTCGTTACAAAACCTTCTCTATCTAGTATCAATACGCATTAAAAGAAACTTTCCGGGTCATTATACTCTAGATAAATGCTTATAATTGTGGATAGATTTAAGCCTGATAACAAAGAACATAGCAAAGTACCAAAGATATGTCAGATTTTGCTTATTAGCAGTTTAAATCAGCCGCATATACTGCTATTTATTGATTCTGTAGTCCATGATTGATGAGCGTAAACTATAATTATAATTTTAATAAACCGATATATGAACATGATTTTATCACGAAACAGCTACGTATGTAAGAAACAACGAAAACTCTAAATCTACAAATCTTCTCCCTGAACCACGTATCAGGGCACTTAAATCTGTCTAAGAAACGCTTGGGAGCACTTATCGTTAATTCTACTAATTCTCAGTGATTTATAGGTTATAATTTCATATTAAACAATAAATTAAAGAACTAACTTTATTCTATAAAATTCCGGGCTTACATACTTTTCTACAGTTGCTAGAAGTTATAGCTGGTATTAATAGCGCCTGTAAATCAGGCGGTAGATTTATATCTAAAAAGCTAATTAATATGGCGTACGGTATTTAAGTACTCAAGTTCCGATGCCTAACACAAGATATTCAGATTTCTATATATCCATTTACAGAATCTGTCAAGTAATAACATGTAATCTAATATGAATCAGTCACAATCATATGTTAAACTACAAGACGTCTAAAATATGAACTATCTCGTAATCTATGTAAAGTTACGCTATGAAACATCACTAACTTCTTTATGGTGAAACGACACCGTAACAGATATCTATCCTATTCCCGAAATGTACTTCATACTTTACCGATACTGAAATTGTATTTTGATATAACAGGGCAACTGTCGTTCAGACTATGCCGCAGTGGTTTAAAGATGACGGTAAATTGAGATTAGAAATTTGCCAAAGAGGTAAAATTTAGTACTCAATATTTGTCTGGTCACTTTTATAAATACTATATCATTTATAAGATATACTCATATTATGATTAAATCGCTACACTTGTTTCTATCAGCTGGAACGACCTGTTGCGCCTGTGGACCTGCAACTTACTCTATGAAATTTAAAGGAATATGGAATAAAGAAACTCATCCAAAAGATTTTCCAACTCGTTCCTTTCCACGCTGGGGCAATCTAATAGGTGCTACACACTCTCAAACTTTCTACCTATATCACTACAACACCATCGTTAGTACATTTATGAAGGAGGCCGCTGAATGGGATTTTGCGGGTAAGTTTTCGAAAAAGCGTGAAAAGGGCTTATAATGCGACACTTACATTACTATCACATATTATCGGATGAACAACCACTATACTCTAATACAAGAAGATTAACATGACCTATTTGTATATCAAAAGTGCGCCATAAATTACTATCTATGACGGATTGTTATTTGTTGTCGCATTCTTGTAATACACCGAAAGGCTTCAATTCATCATTTTATTATCATTGGTAATACTGTATTTCTGTTGTAATAATAAAACCAACCGTAATTGGCTTAATAAATTTATCATCTATCGAAGGTAAGAGTAGTGAGTAGTAATTATCCCGTTGAAAGACTTCACAGTAAAATTAATGTAAAGTACAAGGTACGAACCATTTTTAGGAAAATCGATTGTTTGGTGATGTAAAAGTAATTTATTTTCTAATAATTTATTTACAGCCAAGTTGTTACGGGATATTATCAGCAATAAAAATAGGCGAGTTTTTGATTACTTCACGATTCGCAGCAACTTTGACATACATCAAACTGAAGCCGTCAGTTTTACCGTCGATCAGATGCACCACCTTGTTTCGTTTGTTCGCAAGATATCTCCAAGCCCAGATTGGTTTGTTGGAATGGACTCCTTAGACCTTTGTAAAAGTGACTGTAATTGGAGAGACAGCTTGATCGTAAACTTAACGTTACTTGACGCAGGGACTGACGATGGCATTTCTTATACTAGCCCTAATCATCCAACGGAACCACAAAAAACTGTTCAAAAAATTACTGCGCTATTCTCTAATAATTCTAGCTCGCCATTTTATGTTAATGGAGCGCATTCATCCATACCACCTTTTGCTCAAATTACTTTTGAGAAAATATCTACAGCAACTTGTACACGAACCGTTGAAATTTCAGGTAGCCTCTTTATTTACGATTAATATTGATATCATACAATATTATACTCGCACATTTAATTATTATCATTATTGTAATAACTAAGCGCAATAAATATGGTAAGAATAGCTTAGAATCTGACATACGAAAATGTAAGGCAACCAGATCCCTAAAAACTGCAATAAGATTATAACCATCTGTATTTGTCTAGTTGTAAAGTCCATAAAGATTAATTATAATTACTATTGTCATCGAAAATCTTTTGCGTATTATGAAATTATAAAAAGCTTATCACTTTTTGTATCATGTAACGGTTAAACTTCCAGTGTATATCACTATTTATTTACTACTATTTAATACAATAAATTCATATGTGTATGTGCAGTTGAACCAAGTCACTTTTAATCCCATTTTGCGATTGTGTCACAAACAATCATTCCATCATTTAGGTTGTTAGTCTGACAAATTTATTGTAAATGTAAAGTTTATACGAAACTGATGGCAATATTATGTTAATGTAGCGGAGTATATATATTTATATCATTTTTTCCCTCAATTTTTTAGTACGTGATCGCTGTACGGTGAGTCAGTGGACTAAATGGAGTTCTTGCTCTGCTTCTTGTGGTGCCGGCCAAAGAAGGCGTCACCGCCATATTATAGGAAACCCAAATTTAAATTTAAATCAATGTCCTATCTTAATTCAAACACAAAGCTGCTTAACAGCACCATGCCCAACCGAAGGTAATTACATGTAAAGTAAGGATTTAGAACATTTATCGTCCGATGACACTTAAGAATGGAAAACTAACATAGAAGATTTGTGGCTATTAGTAGCATTCTATTTTTATGAATCGAAATTTTTTATTAGTTACATTATTTAATTAAATTATTACTTTCTACAATCAGGAACTGCATGTAAAGTGACCGAATGGTCGCAGTGGACACCATGTCCAACTATATGCGATACACTAGCGCAACAGCTTAAAAGTAGAACAAGGCATATTATCAAAGCAGGACTTAAAATGAAGTGCCCGCCAACCAAAGAAATAATCCAACATAATAAAGAATGCATCGATAGGTGCTGTAAGTGATTTATCAATATGATATCATCAACAGTAAGAACAGCAAGCGTTAGTTTAAATTCTGGATAACTCTGATTGTAGTTCTACTGTAAACCATCACTGAATTAATATTACCGTACGATAAACAGTGGATGTATTCTTACTGCTACTATAAAGCAATTAAAGATTGTGTCGTATCAGAATGGACAGAATGGTCTCCTTGCTCTTGCAACACGACACATACTACAAGAAAGAGAGCAATTTTACAACAGCCTCAAAATAATGGAAAAAAATGTCCTAATCTTGAAGAGAGCAAAGCATTCGATGAAGCATGTCTAGATAAATGTAGTAAGTTATCCTCAACCAAAAGGTTATTCTTAAAAAACAGCTTATTAGGTAAATCGAATTTTAGTAGTATTCATATTTCCTACCTACCAATATCACCTTCAGAGCCAGTAAAATGCATAGTCTCAGAATGGGGAACCTGGAGCAGTTGTCCTCGAATTTGCAATGCAAATTTTAATAAAACCAGGACGAGAACCGTAGAGCGACCAGCTAGTAATGGCGGTAAACCTTGTCCGGCGTTAAAACAGACTAAACGATGCAAATATAAATGTCCAGGTATAGTATAATATAAATCCGAGTCCTTTATTTGATTATTTTTAATACATCTTTATAAACAACAGAAGAACTAATTAATTGTATGCAATGGAGTCCATGGTCGGAATGTACAAGAACTTGCGGCAAAGGATATAAATATAGATTTCGGAATCAAAAACCAAACGCCAATGGACGTCCGCCGTGCCCTGTTTTAGATCAAAGAAAGCTTTGTAAATTGCCTGAATGCGGAAAAGGTAGAATCATCTTTACTGATATTACTACGGATAAAAAAATAATTAATTTAAAAAGTTCTGTAATCTCATATATACATATGGTCGTTAAATGTATAATAGAGGTCTCTCTTTATCGTATCCTTGCTTGTATAACCACGGTATTAAATGAAGACATCTATTCAATTTATAGTTAAATGTCAAGTTAATGAATGGACAACATGGAGCACATGCAGTAAAACTTGTGGTAGAGGTTTCCGGACTAGAAAAAGAGATATCGTAGTAATGCCACCTGAAGGCGAATCGAGATGTCCAATTGTAGTCGAAGTGGAACCCTGTAACTCTCAGAATTGTCCTATAGTAAAATGAGTCGAATTCCGTGATCGTGATAAATACGAAATGTTATAGATATCGTGTTTATGAAAAACTTAACGCTCGTCAGGTAATTGATTACACTGCAGTCTTGGTCTTTGAAAGATTATCTTTTCTTTTTTCACTGTCAACGCATTACTAGCTAAGCAGCATACAACACAGAATAGCGTGTTTACAACTTGGTTAATTAATTATAATTGAAATTATTTACATTTATTGGTTTATATTGCTGTTCATATGGTTGACGAATACTTTTAGATTATTAGGATTGTAGTCAATTCAAAACTTGCAACATTCGTCCATCATGCCACCGATTGTATTGTTCGTTGTTTCCTGCCAAATTAATTTCCTCTTAATAATATTTATTTGTGCCAGGATAATAGTACAGTAATGTATAGTATGATAGAAGGTGGTAACGATGTGGAAGTTATTGTACAGCATCATGTATTGTAAGGAATTAACTATTTGATATTAAAATAAGCATTATCGTAATACTATTCATAAATCGTTCTAGCGCGCATATTTGAAAACATATTTGTAAGAAGCGATGAAGTGATAATGACCTTAATCACTAGCTATTGTTATAACTTCTAGATATCATAGGTTTATCTACAAAGAATATCAATCACATTAGCCCATCACGTTCCAAACCATAGCCTAGCCAGTTATTCATTTACGATTACATTATATAAAATCATCGCTTAGTAGCATTTCAGAATCGGAAATTAGACTTATCTTTCGGTCCTTAATCTGAAGAAATGTAGTTATTTATAAGTAAATATATCATGCACGCTCGTGTTTTACAGTATCAAATCAGGTAAACTATTAAACGGTAGAGGTTGAAGAGAATGAATTGAATTTTCGTGACAACTACTCTCGAGTGTAGTGTAGTTGAGACTCTTATCTAAGACATGAACATACTGTGTATTGCCGAATTAGTTAAATCTAAATTTAATGAAAACGTTACGTGCGCGGTATGAAATTAATTTAACGCAAAGTTTAAAGACGTGAATTAAGACTGCCAAAGGATTGCATGTTAAATTCTTTCAATAAATGTGAAACTATTTACTAGCTGTTTCGGAATAAAACATTTTTTATTATATTTCCATCACTTTGGTCTGCGCAAACTTTACAAATGAAATACAATTAGTTTCAACGACTGTGAAACTATTTATAGCTTGGCAGATCGCATTATTGATAAAACTACTCAATTATGTGTATTTCCCATGTCTTGATAGATTCGCTTAAAGCCAAATTGGCTGATATGATGATCGCAAAAATTTAGACTTCGTGAAGAAACGAGCTGTTATGTTTTCAGTGAAACGTTTTAAATTATGTATTCCGTAGATGCCAAGCTAAATTTTTCTTGCTACATCCTACAGCAGCCATAATTGATATAATCTGATTATCCATAGTATGAAATGATTTCTTCATTGGTTGTTGAAAATAGCAAGCAGTCAAATCATTAATATAAATATTTCACGGAATCACTGACTAAGTTTCACCTGAATTAATAAAATTATTAAAGATTAGTAGCTTCAAAATTATTATATAAATTAATTTTATGAAGATTCAATTATTGAACTAGAACACTCTCCGTTATGGGCAGTGGACGGTAGTGCATAATATCATTTTATATCAGGTGGTTATTGATCTGCAACGGAAATGAAGATAACAAATTGAAAAATTGGGAAAAGACCGTAGATATTAGAACAATCGTCAGGACTGTAGTAGTTTTGCTTACTTCAGTAAGCTGTAGGTTGTATTTAAATCTCCTAAGCAAACGCCATGATGTTTACACTTTTCGATAGCATCTTCAATAGCCTGAAAATTCTCGTGTTGTACCTCGAACTGTATGTACTACAACAAGTAAAACAAGATAGAAAGTCACCTTCTTCCTTGCAAAAAAGAGCTTTTCATGTATACCTCTCTCCAGAGTATTGCCGATAAAGGTACTGCTTCAGTGGCTTGTTGATATAACCATCGCGCCTAAAGATGCACGAAACTGTCAGCATTAGTCATGGTAGAGTAATAAGTCCATACCGCTTAAGCCAATACGATAGGTATAAATACATTATTTTAGAAATAACTAGAACTAATTGTAGACCTGATTAACGCGACCATGTTGAACTTCAAATGTAATAATTCTGCAACAGAAAATAACTTTACTTTACAACTAAAGACATGAATGATTTCCTAACATTAAGTACGATATATGTACATTCGCCACACTGGTAAACATTCCGGATTTTTAAGCAGCAAAGATGTAAGGATAGTTTTATCCAGAAGATGCGATTTTGCTAACTCTAGTTCCTTTAATAACCTTTTTACACAAGCGTCAGTGCAAAGCATCACAAGATCATCGTTAGGCATCAATAACGAAACTGTGTATGTATATTGCTAACCTGATTACTAAACCAGCATTTTGTGGCATGGTGGAAAGAAACCTTTCCACACAATGCGTGAACAAGGAATTCGGTAAACAGATAATCAGCAAAGATAAAATCTAGTAATGTAATAGTTTAACAATTACTCCTAAAGCTAAAATTATTTCGCACTTCAAATTACTTACAGAATAAAGAATACATTACTATATATACAGTACATCAATAATCTTATCTGATTAAATGGCAGACGCTGTAAAGTGATTAATACCCGATTACAAAAACGAAAGTCGTTCCACTTTGAACCATTTCGATAAGGTGAAGAGCGAGAATGTGGACAAGAAACTACAACACATCGCCAGCACTTCTTGATCATATCCTAGAAAAAGATGATATACAGTATAATCCTTAATCACATATTACTCAGGGATAAATAACCTGACGGTAATCCTTACCTTCAAACGTTTACCAAAATCTTCTTCGCTTGAACATTTAGATAGCGATCGCATAAGAAAGTACATATATTCCAACCATAATTCTTTCTTGTTTTCGAGAGCCATAGTTTTTACGATAGAATCCTCAAAAACGTCGCATATATATTGATCTTCAACAGATTCAATTTCTAACAAGAGGCTAAACAAGACAGGATACATAATATTTAATAATTTAATAATACTTGCAATGATTAAGAGTACTTAATGAATACAGAAACGTTAAACTCATCTAATGTACTGTACCAGTAACAAAGCCAAATATATAGTAAGTCATTTTGGGTATCTGGATTTTCAATTTTCATTGCAGAATCTGGAAGACGATAGTTGTATGGCAAAGGTAGTCCAAGCAGCTTTTTATAAAGCGCATGAACATCCAAGACATCACACGACTGAAAAAAGACTGGTATTAATAAGAATACTGAAAGCGTTTAGATCAAGGAGGCAATGACATTACAACGAAATATCAATACATCTTGAAAAGTTAAAGATTCAGGTCCTGAGGATCATACCGATTCGTTCGAATTATTTACAGTATATTTCGATACAGCGCACAATCGAAGATATCTTAGTGCCTCGCTCAAATTTTTCTAAAAATTTCGATCAAGGGGTATAAGAAAAGGTTCATAATGTAGTAAACCCTAAATATGTAATCTTGTACCTGCATAAAATAAAACTTTCCTAGTATGTAATATATCTTTGAGTGACCAGGCATAGCTTTACTAGCTCTATTAAATACCTGGATGATTTAAAAATGTAAGAGATCAACACTATTAAAAGAATAGATAAAGTTCATCATTGTTAATATTATACAATACCAATACTAGGGTAACTACTTATTTACCTGGTTTACGTAAAAAGACGTTTCAACATCAGAAAGGTTCTTCATTCGAAGTAAGTACAGATAAACATGCCATAGATCAAGCACGCTTTCATTTGATTCTAGTAGACGCCAACACAGCTGGAGTGCTTTGTCAACCCTAACATTTGATTAAAGAGAAAAATCTTTGAGACGTATGCGAGAATTAAAAGAGAATATTGCAAGTCGATTTTAGCGTACCTATTGCATGAATACAGAAAATACAGAAGGTTAATATGTAACGGAAGGCAAGTAGAAGCGTCACGTGAAACTTTATTTAAATCATTAGAAGAAGCCTTAAGGCCCACTAAAAGATTGATTAAATACGTGAAGGGGTAAATTTTGTTAGTAACGTTAAGAATTAGCACTATAGAGCAATGGAGCACATCCTCACATCCATACTTTGAAAAAGTTTCAAAACAGATTCATAGTCAATATCCACAATATTTCGCCACGGAATATAAAAGCAGTCCTAGAAGCGAATTTGCAAGAAATATTCACTTATATATCAAAAAAATTTTACGCTGATAACATACCTTGCACACTAATTCACCAGGAACTCCATTCAATGTACCAAAAATTGATGAAGGAAGGGTTTTAATGTATTGCAAATAAATAAAGCAGAGCCAAATGAAGCATCGATCATTCGGTGTCAGAAAGTGTATAATAGTATCATCACCATCCCGATTAATAAAGGCCTAGGTTAAAAAGTTAAATATATAAATTACATTAATTAATATTTAACGATCTGACATTATAGTACTCTAGCATTATACCTTCAGTAATTTCCCTGCTCCTGTTCTACCCGTTAAAATTTCTAATTGAATCCGATACAGAATACTTTCGACAAAACGATGTGAACGGACAGATTTATCACTGGTATCAGATTTTAAAAAGAGCATGATATCATCTAATACTTTCAACTTTAAATCGTAAGATGAAGATATACGTAAACATTGCCACATTATATTATAAGATAAGCAATATTCGGTAGTTCTATTAAATAAATTAATCAGTTGCATCGAAGATAGAGCATTCTGCGCTTGCTTTAATCTCGTATGAACTCTCAGATAGCGAATCCATAGCTCCTATACGATCATAAATTAGTCCATTAAAGGCCTACATTAGTTTTCTAGGCGAAGTATAATTAGTGATTGCAATACTACCTCAGACTCTTTATAAGCTTCTAAGCCATGGCTTAAAACATTTTGGCAACCTTCTAAATCATTTTTTTTTAATTTTAAGTCGGCTAAGCATATCCAATCATCAATACGTCTTTCAGCTGGAGTCTTGACGTTCTCTGTAAGTGCTGATATTGGAAAATATCGTACATTTTGCAGATTATCAAAATCCTCACTTTTGTAAGTAATCGGAAAAATGGAGCTTGTAGAATGCAGCATCCTCCGAACAAATTTGGTGTAATCTGAGGCTACATTCCCTACAGCACAACAATAGTAGTTTACTAAATTGATACAGAAAATAGATAGTAGATGATTCGCAAATCTACTGCATGGCACATAAAAAAAGAACTTTTGTTATAAAATAGAAGTTAAAACCTTGGATCACCCTAAAGCCGCTGATAGGATTCCAAGCACGTTCATGGAAAGAAATATGGTATAATGTCTTTCTCCTGGATTCATTAATTCGATTGATCAAAAGTAAACATTTTTCTTCTGTATTTAGGACTTTGTACTTTTGTGACCAATCAGAAACGAATCTGCTAATGCTATCGGTAGTAGTAATAGTGTCTTCCATAATATTTTTAGTTAAAGATGAGCAATATGAAGCTAAATCCATTAAAATTTCTCGTTCCGATAAAGTAGAAGTAGAAAGGTGTTGCCTAGTTGAAAAGATAAAACAAATGATTCTTTCGTAGCGAATCCTTTATATAACAGTAAGAGTAAAGAACGATTACCATTTGCATTGGTCATCGTTGCAAACACCTTGAAGGTCAAAGGGACAGATGATTCGACTCGGATCAATTTTGTGTGAAATAGACTCCGACATAACAGATAACTTGCTCTGAGTACGAAAATAAGGACTAAATCTATACGATCTAAAGCATTTTAGAGAGCTTCTATACGGGCTTTTCTTGATAAATGCTATACGAGTAGGTGCAGCGATTGCGATTTCTTCGACATTTAACATGTCAACTAATGTCTAAAATTAATCGAGAAAAAGTGAAAAACCAAGCAAAACATACAATTACACAATAATGATATTTTAGTATTTATTTATTACGTGATCAAATTCTTCGCTATTACCTCAAGAGGTCGGTCAAATATTTCAAAAATAGGTAACTTCAACTGAACGAATGAGAATTCTACATCAATTTGGCGCAACCAATGTATATTGACAATTTCATTTGCTTCGTCTAAGAGACTCGTAAGTCTACTACAGTATTCACTAGCTAGCGGGGTAATACCCGCTTTATTATTGGATCCAACTTCCACTCCAGCAGTTACGCGACTATTACCCTTGTTCAAATCTTCTGCTACTTTAGGTTGCTTTGATTCAAGTGATTTAATCAATTCCATATATTTTATAGAAAAGTTTTGAATTCGTTCTAACTATAAATATTTATTCGTCATATTAGGAATTAAGTAGTCATTCAAAAATATCGCATTTCACATTACCAAACAATAAATGTATACCTTCACATTTTTTTCAAGTATTTCCTTTTCATGTTGCTTAATAGCCGCTTGTAATTGCTAATGTTATAGTCCAAGGCTTAGAATCTCTTATGTATGCTACTGCATTGTTATAATAAAGTCTTTTTGCAGTATATAAATACTATAGCGATCTTACTGTCTGTTTTTCAATAAGCTTGTTCGATTTTGCTTCTTTAATTTTCACTGAGCTCTGCAATCTTTGAATCTCATGCTTGATTTTTGTTTCTAAACGCTGATAAGCAAGACGATCTTTCCTATAATTAATTAATTGACGATTGACAATTAACTTCATGGAGTGGACCATACATTAATGGTAAAATACTAATATCAATTGATTAAATTATCCTTTGCAAAAGTTAAAATTTATACACCTATATCTGTCAATCATTTTCAACTTATCATTACTGCTTTTGGTTTCAATACCGAACAAGCCCTCTACAATAAAACATTCAAAATATTAGTTTAAAAGTTATACTATTCAGGTTGAAACGTATTTGGTAATCCTATGATTAAAATTACTTTTAGATTGACCATATTCCGAGAGCGGTTTTTTCGCCATTTCTCGCCTAGCAATTTCCGCCTTTAACTTGTAATATTCAGAAAGTTTTTCTGGATTTAAATTTTTTATTTGCTCCGGCGTATGAATAGCTTCAGTATCAGCGTAATTTTCCACCCTTGCTTTATCTTTTATTATCTGAAATACAATACATACTGAAAGTACGGAACGAATTGCCTACCTGCGTTCTATTGATTAAGATTAACGTTCAAACTGTAAATGAAGGTAGGTAAATTTTGCTCTACAACTTTGATTCTTGATACTCACGTCCGTAGCATTTCTAGCCTTTTTAATCATGGCATCCAAGCTTAATTGAAAGGCCTTCCTATCCTTAGAAACTGAAGTTTCTAAGCTCGTTGATTTAACCTCTGATTCTGAATAACTGTCGCTATCACTGTCCATTAGAGGAATGATGATAGGATTAACAGTTTCCTGGTGATATGGAGATTTTGGCTATACAAACATAAAACCTTCGTATACTCAGCTTCAATCATTTTGTAAAACATCGATAAATTTATATATCTAACTATTGACTAAGGAAATCGCGATCCATAGTATAGACTTTTTAGTCTTTGTTACTACCTCATAGTGACCGAATCCACAGTAAAGAAAGGCTTACCGCTATAGCAGTTATATTGCTACTGTCGCTAGATTCACTTTTACTGTTGCATTTGGTATTTTCAGTAATTTTCTGTATAAATTTCGAAGCAAATGAAACTCATAAATTTTTGACTTTGAGCGTATGTAAATCAAATAGAGTTGTAACATTAGTACTAGCGTTCAACACAGATAGTAAAAGTTATTACAGCAGACGCAACCAAAGATTTAGTTTTCATTGTTTCTAAGACTGCATTCCTTAAAGCAACGATGCTCTCTTCATCATCTTCCTGGATATCTATTAAGAAAAACGTCATAGATTCTCCTTTATTAAAATATCAAATCAGTATTAAAATCAAAGAGATAACAGTTATAGCGCCAAATAAAAATAACATATTGTGACTACGAAGTAATTCTATTCATAAATAACCGTGACCAGCTACTAGCTGAGATTCATCAACATTTACCATCTGCTAATTTGGTATCAGCTGGTCTATCACTTTCAGCAGTACCACTGTTTCTATCGTTAATCGCTTTCTCCATCAGTAACGTATCTTGAAATTTTGAACCGATATGAGATTTATTTTTAATAAGTGAGATATCGTCACTGATCTCCGAGTTCGAATCCACATCCATAGGAACTTGGACATAGTTGTCAATGGTTGGAGAATTTATCATTCTAGCTTTCTCTTTAAATATGTCTTGATCAACATCTCGGTTAATTTTCTATAAGTTTTTAAGAATGCAGGCAAGCAGTCAGTACCAATCAACAAACTAAAAGTAATATTGCATACGAACATATTACTTACAACAGGAACTAAGTGCGATCCAGGAATTTTATTTCCATTCTTATTTTTTCGCTGCGCTCTTGCTATTTTTCTCGTTAATTGCCTTTTCTTAAGATTTTTCAATTTATTTCTAAGATTTGTATCCCTACTACCACACTCTGATGAGATTCTGTAGGTATCACCCTTGTAAACGGGATCAGCTACAGCACCCTTGTACCTTTGCTTCTGATCTAATCGATCTTGATCCAACTGTACTATTTGTTGCTGTATATTTTCTGGAGTTTTGCACGTGCTTCTCATATTATACCTGTAGAAGGCAGAAGAAATATTATAAGTTACTTAATTTATCATTTGTATATTTCGATGACAACCAAAAGGATCTGAGATCACCAATTCTATTGTAAATGTATAATTGTGTATGGTGCCCGTATATGAAATATTCGTAACATACCCTTACTTTACTTTATATGCGTAAACTTACTTATTTTGTGGATGTTTCATCGATATCTCCGAGGGCTCGAGAATTGACGCTGATTCTTCACCCGCTTTACTTCCATTATTGAGTCTATAATAGAATATAGACGCATACAATAGGAAAACTTAACAAATCATTCAAACACTGCGTTACGAATTAGTAATATCAATTGCCAGGCTACCGAACAGATTGATCTGAAATATACTGATCTTTAACGCTTGATCCGGCTGATATATCAGTGATTAGAGGGTGGTTTGCTTTCTCAATGGTTGAAGCTAGAATAATTATTTTAGCAAATACAAAAGCATGATAAATTGTAAAGGTTACATATAATTCAAATATTATTAAACGCAACATGTAAAGGTGTGTAACACAAGTCATAATTTTTTGTATTAATTTTATTTTACTAGTAGTTACATGCATGTAATCTTGCTTTATTTTTAAAATTAGTTTCTTCAGTTTTAACTCTTTCTTTTTTTACTTCCGCCTGTAGTTGCTGTTGCAATAATTCTTTCTTAAGCAACAGTTCTTCAAATGTTACATCCTCTGTGTCGTGCTCATTTAGTGGGCTGAAATTTTTCTTCTGTAATGATTTCTTCCTTCGATTTATTCCGCTCTTGCTAAATCGTGGCCTGGTCGATCCATCGGGTACCAAATTTACTACTCTAGTTCTACGAACTAAATTCGCTGGTGTTGAACGAAATTACCGATATTAAGGCTACAAACTGGACCATTAAATTGACAAGTACACTACATAAATTAGCTAATAGACTATGAAAAATTCAGAATTACCTATTGATATCGTGATGGATAAATAGTAAATATATGACTTACTACGAGAGACCAGAAGATTGTAATTGTGCAATATATGTATGTACTTAGATGACAACTGTATTTACTGATCTTAGAAATAAAGTATGTGCACGTTTACAGCTTGCAAGCCTTACATCACACTATAATACTTAAATTGGCGTACTGTAGTAACTGCTCACTTTTACTTCTTAGTAGAACTACCATTAACGATTTATTACGTAAAATATATTTTAGACATTGTCTAACTTCAAGAACCAGAATCTGACCATATCAGTATAATAATCTTACTTATAAATTAATAATATAATAGAAAGATACGAGACATCGGCAAAAGATTTGGCCTTGGAGCGCTTGATGGCATTCCGTAGCTAGTACGTTCTTGGAATCGTCGGAATGATGTGTTCGGTTCCCTACAAAAACTAGGATAACTTCCATGTCCATAGTCCACTATACGCCTGGTTCTTGGTCGATCGGTATTACTTGTGCTATAATTCTTGCCAATAGAAAGATGTGAATTCGAGATTAAATGAGGCATTTGCACTGGCCATACTGGATTTGCCTCTTCAAGAGATCTGTTAGGCTGCTTTATCGGTAAGTCCTGTGAATCATCGATAATTTCACCTTCTTCTATCTCCTCTTCCATTAATTAATTTTATTATTGTTATATACTTGAGTAGCAGATAGTTAACAACTATTGATATTAAGCATTGTCGCATAGATAAACTCTTCTTCTTACAAATTCACTTGGCAATACTCTGGTACTATTTAAAATCGTTAAATATGATGCTTTACTTTTATAAAGTTCAATAAGTAAAATGTGCATGGATCGTAATCTTTACAATAATTTCAAAGATCAAGATTACGGTACAGTACTGTACTGTACTGTATGTTTGCAGGTATTTTACTATACTGTACTGTACAGTACCGTACAGTACTGTACACTCAGTGAGTTAGTGTACTGTACAGTACAGTACGGTACAGTACAATCAGTGAGTCAGTGTACTGTACTGTACAATACCGTAGAAAAACTGCTACAGTACTGCCCACGAGTAATGTACCACAGTTGGTTTTTTCGGGTTCAGAGTGGGTTAGGTTTTATTTAAAAAGAAGCAATGTCAATTTTTTCGAGAATTGAGTTCTTTGACTACAGTATAATTACTTTTTAAGCTGTAATCTAACTGCAGACATGTAATGGCCGAGTAATAGTCTTTTACTATTAAAGTACTGTTTGTCTTATGAAGTCCCTATTACTACCGTATCGTAAATATTATCAGACCACTGAATACACTACTTTACATTACAATGTATAGTACTGTACTTGCAGAACGAGTCCAGGACAATTCGACGCGGACAATTTACCGCTGTACAGTACAGTACTGTACAGTGTAGTAGTACTGTACTGTACACTGTACAGTATAGGATGGAAACAATATCAATATAGATTTGATATAACGAGGATGAATTGAATACTTCGCTACATTCAATCCTATACACCGTAAAATTAATCTAATGCAGTAAAATATCTGTTTTGATATTACGAGGGTGGATTGAATATTTTACAGCATTCAATCCTATACTGGATAAAATTAATTTAATGCGGTAAATTATCCGGATTCGTGCAGAACTGTAATTTATCAACATTCAATATTGTACACTGTACTGTACAGCTGTAGTTCCGTAGTAATGGATTACTGTACCGAACCTTTCTCACGTTTAATGGTAGTGTAAAGCAGTGTTAATTTGAACATTTCGTACTTTCTCGTATCCTCCTGTTTCTTGACTAGAAAGAAAGTAGCGTAAAGCATAACCAGCGATAGGGTAATCATTTCAATGGATAGAGATCATATTGGATACAATTGCAGTCTTACTATGTCAGTAACATAATTTATTTTTTAATTAGCTTCGAGCCATGTTTGGTGCGCCTATTACATCCATTGCTGCTATTATTTGTAGATTTTCTTAATCGTAAATACCAGTATGATATGACGTACTTAGAATAGGGATAAATTGCCCGGAGTACTTTAACTTTCATACGCGTACGTGAATTGTTCATAATGTTCTGATAGTGATATAAAGTTTTATATCGTGGATAAAAGCAAGACATCTGTAGAAAAGCTGTAGAAGAAACTATAAAATGCATCATAAGATCCTGTTGCGCTTGTTTATATTAATTATTATAGAGAAATAAGATTGTAAATATTATAGCAAATCAAATAATAATAATAAATCTCTGTTTAATCTCAAAACGCTATCCCAAGTTTGTGATTTAAGGATATGACACTCAACCACAACGAAATATGAGTAACTGAACTGGATATCAATGACATGATCAGTTTTGTCACAAATACAGTATATCAAGCGATTCGGACACTACAATCAACAATCTACGAACTGAACTATTTTGTAAATTTATCCGATTTACGAGCCAATTCAAATTTTCACTTTAGGTTTCCTAATTAGTTCATTTAAGGGTTTTTCCTTTTTGCTTTTACTTTTGCGGCGAAGTAGATTGTGCTTGATTGTCTATGAAATAAATATTTTACGATATAGTAATTGCTAACGTTTGCAATTTCTAATATAATTATAAAATTATGTAGACCAATAAGAAGCAAATATTAGTGCGTCTTCACCTTTCTAGAATGATCATAAGTTCTCTTCTTGTTTGAAAACTTAGATACTCTGGCATCTGCACTAGCTCCAGACGAGAATGATCCACCGATATTATGACGGTCGTTAATATTAACATTAACATCAGATGTTGACGGTAAGACCTGGTTGATAAAAGAACTTTCATCTTTTAAGCCTTTGAAATTCGGCCTTGTTTTTAACTTTGTCTGATTCTCGATTTTATTCGCTGATATCCTCAGATTTACTCTCTCATTGTTGCCATAATTATCAGTTTCAATATTTGTCGGTATGCGGTGGTTTTGTCTCACTTGCAGCTTTGTCTACATCCCCAATGCAATAATATGAATATCATATAAGCATGGTGCCTTTACAATAGTTCTGATAGACACTAGTATCTGTTTTACCTTGCTCCTTTCCTGCCTTAATTTCTTCTTTTGAAGTGCCCTTTGGTTTTCTATTGCAAATCCTACAATTAGTCGCTGTAAATATTCACCAAAATTACAATAAAATTAACGAAGCGAAACCATGTCCGGAAAATTATAACGTGCAAGTGGATGGAAACCTTTTCAGATCCAAAAATATGAGGATTATTATTAATTGCTCGTAAAATTTTCAGTGCGTCATCGTGATTTAAAAGTTCCATAAAACCAAAACCTTAAGATTGAAAAGAAGCAAAGTTTGGTCACTGGTAAAAACTTTTAAACTCTGATTACTGTGAATAATCAAACACTATACTGTATGACTACTCCCACAAACCTCTAGATTTCGCGATTCCGTGGCTGTTAATCCGATTACGATCACGCATTATCGTTACCTAAATCCAGATAATACATATACCATACCCAATGAATTAACCACAAATAGGTTAAAAGAGAAAACATTTCTCAAAAATATTTACTTTCTTTATTCTAACAGGCCTCTTCTCATCTACTGAAGATATGATTACTTTCTTGAGATCAGCATCACTAACTTGAATTGGAATATTGCGAATACACAACCTTTGGCAAAGTTTCAGCATTAGCAAGTTTTATCACCATCAAGATTAAAACACTTATTTACCTTGTTTTCGATACAAAATAGTTAGGGTTCTTTAACTTGGCTTTGTTCTTCATTTCCGTCTTTGAAGTAGATAGAGTTAGGAAGAAGTATGATTATCAAGATATGCAAAAGATAAATACAGTTTTACCATGGCACGTTTCTTTAAATCTGATTTGGATAATCCTCCAGCAGCAGCGCTATCAGCTGTGATAACTAAACATATCAGCGTAGCGTTTCAAGTCCTTGAAAAAATAAATGATTGACTGATTGATAGCAAAATATCACCTCCTTCACTAGCTAGATATAAATTTCTTTTATCTTGATCTTTGGATGGCTTTGTTACTGAACTAGATTACGCAACGAAAGTAGAATTGTATATCAAATGCTAAATATTACTATGGGTATAACAAGTTCAATAAAATATAATTAGTCAACAAGAACATTAATACAAATTGCAAGCATCGGTCCGTGATACGGCGCGGCAGATGATAAGTTTCCTGTCATGTAAAGTAAAGTCGTAATCGCCCTACAGCAAAGTAAAAACGGAGAATAAATAAAAGATATCATATATATTGTTTAAGTTATTTCTTACGTTGTTGTAACTTTCCAGGCATTTGTCAGCACTTCCTTTTTCAACATATTTCACAAATGCTACACCTGTAATCAATGAATCCTATCAGTGCTTTAGACTCATTAAAAATACAGCTGCTCGCAGATGAAGTTAAAATAATTCTTCACTACATAGACTCTATGTGATTTTTATACATAAATAACCTAGCTACCTCGAGAATAATCATTAGCCCGATCAATAACAATCTTGCAATATCGAATCTTGCCAAATTTCGAGAAGAATTCCTTTAATTCGTCTTCTTTACAGTCAAATGAAAGGTTCCTAAGAATATACAGTAATATCTCTTAATTAAAAGTGTATCAATTGATACCAATTAATCTTGCTAACTCAGAATTCGAGCCATAAAAGGGGTCAATTGAATGTTCTGTTTAACTCAATTGGTTAGCCTTATGAACTGGTATAAAAATTTCTATTAACCGTATAAATAACGTTTTCCCTTCCTGGACATCCTCCTTAATTTCATGTCTGTTGCGTTTAGTTTCTTCCTCAGCTTCAGTATCGTTTTATAGTTAATAAATATTCGCATATTAAAAAAATATGTACACTATAAGTTATCTCATCTATTAACTTTTAAGACACATGCAGGCATTACGATCACATAATATGAATTGCGATGTGGTTTTATGCCCCTATCGCTAAAACATTTAATACAGCTCGAAATATCAGAAATACCGTATCTTGCAGTACTTTTAAGAAAATATAAATGTAATTACCATTTTCCGTTGTATTTGCACTATCAGTTTTTGCGACAGCTTCACAGTCACTGTCTATTTTAAAGCATAGCAATGCAAGATTCTAAGTAATTCGCTGACTACAAAAAACAACCCTATACTTTATCGTAATACCTGTTAAATCAGAATCACAGTTGTCAGATGTTACTTTTTCACCCTCTAATGAATTAGGTAGTTATACAAGGTTTATCATAGGAAACAAAACAGAAGCCGAAATACTAAATCACGCAATTCAAAATTAATTAATTAATGATTAACCGTGTTCTTTACTATTCTCAGCTGTATTTTTCAAATAAAGTGATTTTGGTAACGCCCAATCCAAAGAAATTCGACGATCTAAGAAACATTTTATTGAAGGTACAAACACTTAAACAGTTCGTACATAATACGGCAATATGTTCGCTTTGGCTAACTTATCATCACGAAGTAATTCCTGGAAACTTATTGACAGAAATGATAAAAAATTTAAAGACTTACTCATCACTTCCGTCATATTGAGTTCCTTTATAGCATTCGCCGCATGAAAGACATTTTCGAACTGGATAAACGCAAATCCTAGCATTTTTGTAGCGTAGCATTAGTCATTAATATATACAAAGCAAATATAGCTTGAGATATAATTCGATGTGATGAAACACGTAGCCTTTTGCTAACCTCCCTTAGGTGGAATGTTCACAGTGATCACATTTCCAAATTGCGAAAATATTTCCTTCAAATCTCTTTCTCGGCACTATATAAGCATAGTATTGACATATTAACACTAGTGTATAGTGTGACAATCATTAGCTGTAGTTACTTATCGACTATAAAGGTGGCTGTTCTATTACATAGTTATTATAAAAAACAGAATTAGTTAAACAAAAACTTTCGTTTTATAAGATATCCAGGCTCACTAACGTTGAAGCAAAGATTTCGAACAATGATCTTTGCTTTATTTAGAGACTTCTTCGACTGTGTCTTATCGATCTTGGAAACAATTTGCACATTGAGCTGCGAACCTTTCATGCCAAATACGATGAATTACGTTATTAATCTAGTTATCAAAAATTGCTAAAAGCACAGTATTTTACTTTAGATACCTTTAAAAGTCCTGTTATTTAGATTTACTACAGCAATTCTGCATTTCTTGTGTGAAGAGCATAGAACCAAGGCGCAACCTTCACAGTCTATGAAGATCATTGCAAACAGTATGCTAAAATATACTTGTACGTTGAGGTAGTAATACAGTATAAGGAGCATATCGAATGTGGTACTCAAATCAATTACATCCTAGCTACATTAATTACCAACCAGGTAGGGGATACTTCAATTCCTCTATGTCGACCTTCTTCCTAGAATGTGTTAAAAGTGGGTATGTACAAAAATATATCCTGAGCTAGTACATATAAATAGCATAGAATGTTCCTGTAATAGATACTCGTATATCAGTTCAACTAACCTAAGCCGTTTATACAACCGCTTCCTGGAAATATCCGGAGATAAATTTTGAATTAAAATTGTTCTTCCAGAATTTGCACGTGATACAATAGATGATATTGTATTTTCTAACTGTACGTTGTCTAATTGTGAATAGGATCTAGATTTCTTTATCACTGGTGCTTCGAGATGGCTGCTATTTACTTCTATGTAAGGAAATACGATTATTGTATAACGAAGTAATGTCTACATATATGTATAATATACATAATTATTATATAATTACCGTCAGTCAAGATCAATGTTATAGTGTACATGTATATATAACATATATGTATGCGCGTATAAGTACCTTCAATCTCATCGTGATTTTGTTTCCTCTTCGTATTAGTATCAAACTTTCTCTGAGCTAGTAAAATTTGAATATGACGTCCTCTAATACTTTTTTTCAGTGTTGTAGCTCTTTCTGCATCCTCCCTAGATTTGTAAGCGAAATACGAGTACATGTACAGTATGTATTTACGGCCTTTAGTGTAGTCTACTCAGTCTAAGCGCTAAAGTGGAACAGGCTAGTGTAATTGCTAATAGTGTGCAATATGCGATTGTATATACTTGTATTACATAAAGCAATTAATATCTATATAAGCCCATCACTGTTGCTGCTTTTTAACCATTCAAGACTCGAATAACTGAATACGAGTATTCGCCTACTGTACAGTACACGAAGTGAAATTACAAGGTACGAAAATAGTGAACTTACTAGAATAGTACTGCACAGTGTACAGTATTAATAATAACACCAGCACACATACAGTACGTTTTTACTGTGCTACTGCAAAATTGAGTTTGCACGACTTACTGCAAGGTAAAAGTCACATAACCAAACCCGCGACATTCATCCTTTGTACCTGTAAAGGATCGATGCGATGATATTATTAATTTATTTGGCGTCTACGAGCATATTAAATTACTAAATGTAAAGTAAGTCTGAAATCATAACACTATAACACGCTGTATGTATTTATGCAACCTAGGCTGACCCAAATTACATTTCGCACTCCTCAACGATTACATTGCATAGTTTCCTTCTAGAGTTAGATCTACAACCTTTATCCCGAACCAAGAAGCTACTTCTTATAGGTCCTACATCATCAAATAGTTGCTCAAATTGAGTCTCGGTGATATCGTATGGTAAGTTGCGGACGAATATAGTAGACCTTGACGTTACGATTTCGCTCGGGTTCGTCAAACTCATGCTGCTGTAAAATGCCTGTACAATGTTGAACGAACCTTGGATTCATTAATTAATTAATTAACTGATGAACCAAAGCATGGACTTCTAGATACATCTGGACTGGACACTTGGTTCGGACGGTCGGACATATATGCCTCATCTTGTTTTGTATAGCAGTGCTCCGAACACTTCTCTTCGCCATAACGTTATCAAACGGTTACCCGGTTTTGTAATTCACTTATTTTCCAAATTAATTTTACAGTACACTGTACAGTACACTCGTGGTGTGGATTTTCTGTACTGTACCGTACAGTGCACTGTACGGTACAGTACAGTAGATTGACTCATCTGTACAGTGTACAGTACTGTACTATACGCAGTACAATCCACCATCAACACGAGGAATTAACAATTGTACTGTACTGTACTGTACGTACAGTACAATACAGTACAGTACAAATCACTTTACACTGTACTGTTACGGGCAATGTACTGTACAGTACAGTACAGCACAGCAATGGCAACGCGCAGTGTACTGTACTGTACTGTATCTAGTATAAATTTATATACTGTACATACTGTATAAGTGTATATATTATTACTGTTTCATTACTACTGAATATTTCATACACCGATACACGTATATTCCTTATACTATTAACTTTGAAAATATATGAGAAACACAATATCTCTTCGTTACTTATGTCTAATAAATTGGTTCTACCCCCTCCCCAATTTCCTATCTCTCTTTCGTTTAGCTGAACCTTTATTGGAAAACGTTAAACGTTACATTCGTGCAGTACTGTACTGTACTATGAAAAAAAATCGCTCGTTTTTTACGGATTACTTTACAGTACATTACTGTAGATTGTACTGTATACTGTACAGTGTACAGTACTGTGTATAGTATTGTAGGTACTGTACAGTATAGTTATGTATACAGTATATATACAGTATAAATATATACTTTACGTTACCACAGCAACAGATGATTGTTGTGTAGTATATGTGGCATGAATAAGCATAAAAGGGTATATGTATGTTAGTTATTATTGTTATAATAGTATACATAAAATTCGCAGACTACGGAAGCTTCAAATGTGCGCATATAATACTACTGTATCATTCATAAGCGTACACTTTGCATAAAATAAAGTGAAATAATATAGTACAGAAGATATACGTATACTGTACACTGTACAGTACAGTACATTTCAATTACGACAATCATGATGTCACTAATTATATAACCCTGACTTGTTATGCGTAAATGCACACATCGTATATCGAATTTCGTCAATAACGGCTAATAACAGACTATTGCATTATAGAGGCTGCAATAGGCAAGATACAGTACCATTTCGTGGTAATGGTTTCATCCTTTTCATGATTGCGAAAATGGATTTTTGAAAACATCTCATGGGCGTAGTTGCCATACGTATCACTATGTAAGAGGTCTCAAGTCGTTTTTTCAAGACTGTACTTTTTTATAGCAACTAATAGTACTAAATGGTAATTTAATAAAATATAGCTATTATTTTATACAATCTTCTCATTTCATGAAAAGGAACCTGTGAACCCTATACTTATATGAATATTTAATAGTTAACTTTAATTCATCGAAAATGAACAAATACGATAGCCTGTCCCGAAAGTTTAGCTTGCCGGAGTTGCCTGATATAAAAAGGAAAACTGATCGGAGTGATCGTGATGATATTTGGATAAATTCCCCCAAAAAATCAGCTATGGCTAATGAAAGCACAAAAGACACCCAGACCAAAGATGTTATGTACTGGAAGCCTACATTATCGCACGTTCAAAAAGGTCATAGGGGTGAAGACCATGATGCCTATATTAGTAGTAAAAATGCTCGTAAGGGAACAGTATTTCTATCTCAAAGCAAGCATATTACTTGGAAAGATATTTTAAGGAATGGAAATGAGCATGAAAGAACTCGAAAAAAGTATCGTAGTTCGTGGAAAAATAGAAATTTATATCCTGCGCTACCTACTCTTAATGATACAAAACCGAAGGTTCGTTATCGATCAAATATTACACGTTGTTACGCTAATGCGACCGAAGTGGTGCCAGCAACTGAAAAGAATTGGACAACTCCATCTTTTTACAATGAGGATCTTTCTTCCCGTAGGCAGCTTGATCATAAATTGCATAGAATTGAAAGTGCGTGTCTAAATAATTCTGGTCAGAAAAGAGGCTTATATTGCGATGTTATGGGCTCAGAATTATGTGAAAAGTGTATTGAGATAACCAGAAGATATAACAGCATCGAAGTTCATCGCCAGTTATACCCTAAGATAAATATCAACTGCGACTCGCTTTGCCGTAATCATGCTCTTAAACAGTTTTTTAGCGAATCGGACTCCCAAATATATATTGCAGATGGTAACAAGATAGCCCCAAGCAGGCTTTCAAATCAATCTAAACAAAGATTAATGGAAAGTGCTACTCCAGACTCTTTCTATGATAAACAATCTAAAAGTCCTGGTATTCGTGATCGCATTTCAACCCTTTCTGAATCTATTGATTTACGAACTATACGACTTGATCCACCTTTTCTATCAATCAATATGCCCTTATCAGCATCAGATATCGCGATGGACTATTAAACCAATCAATCAACAGTTAATTATCCAATAGTGTCGACACATATACTGATTAGAAATTTCATTGGTTTTTTATACAATTTCGAATAAACATTAGTGCTGTTATGCATAGTAATGGAAATGCGGTATTAAAATTTTGTTTATCTCCATGAAAGGACAACTGTTCCAACTTGATAAAATTACAGTTTATATCAACGATGGCAAAGGGAACTTCTGTATTTCTGACTTTTTATGCCTATCGTATCATTTATACAAAGTTACTTTACTCACAGAATCACTGCTAAGCGATTTTGTTCCAGATATTTGCACGGGTCGAGTCGTAAGCAAAGCACTGTACTTTATGTAATGTATGAAATATTGACGTGTTTGTTGCTTCACAAATTAGAAAATATCCTGCACTTTATTATTGTACTCATATACTAGATTGCACCTGCACTTTGTTCGGTAGTTACCCATATCATCATTCATGATTGAATAACTACAGTACAATATATAATAAGTGCCTGTATATCGAGTCCTGTATACACATACATCACAATACTGCAGAAGTACAGATCTTCAGAATGTTTTGACAAATGGATGAACTTCTTGTATAGCACTGAATGATATTAGTTTAAATTGAATATTTTAATACGGTTATCCCGGTATGATGAAATTACTTGAAATTATTGTTACGAATGCCATTCATTATAGTTATATGAGCTCTTAACTGTATACAAATTCAATTGGATAGTAACGAATCATAGTCATTCTTACCGAATTTACGAGCATAAGCAGACCTTGGTACTGATGAGCTGCTTCTCATAACTTTCTAGCATGATCTCACTGGTGTATATCGTACCATGGACAAAGGACTACTAGAAGAAGACCTGGATTGATTACTCTTGAACGGACAGACCTTTTCGGCCTCATCTCGTCAAAATATTGTTTCAAACATTTCGTTGCGGCAGTACTTTAGTATGCAAACGGTCAATTTTACATTCACTGATTTTTTCTAAATTAAGTAATATTCCATTGAATCTTATCATCTGTTACTAAATTCTACTTGGAAACAGTTATATAAGATCGTAAATGGTATTTAAGTTAGTACCAGTGATATAGAAAACAGACACGAAAGATCCATACTAAGTACTGTACTGTAGCCATTTTTCGATTCAATACAGCCTCATTTTTCCTTACGGTAAGAAAGTCCGCCTGTCCGAGAGAATGATCAGTGCAGGTCCTATTCTAGTAGTATATGATAGCACGTATCTGCACGAGATATTTACAATACAGTATGTGTTGGATACAAACAATTAATGATTATACAGTATATGTACCGTACATTTAATAATCAAAGTGGGCAGCATGAACTGCTGTTTATTGGGTTTACTGATAACATGCACGGAATATCGGTTGTGTTCGATCACATTTTCACTCTTACATTCGATCAATGTATGACTTTTGAAAAGATCATGGTAGCATTGTAACAAATTTATATAGCAGGTACCGTATTCATTCTATATTCAAATCGTTTGACATACAAAAATTTAATAATTTCTTAACATTTAGTATCATGCAAATATTGATAGTTTAGTACAATTCTATTTCGTAGATGAAGTAATAGCAATGGTTTAAAAGTAGAGTAAATTTGGAAATTTATCAAGCAGAAAGTAGTACAATCACAAGCTAGTATATGCAAGAATTTTAAACATAAGAATTTCGTTATACAAACTAGACAAATCGTTCATATACAATTATAACAAACTCAAGCATAAATGCGAAGGAATTAGATATAATAGTAAGCTTGAATGGTCTTCCAAAAAATTTATAATGTGTAGAAGTGCTAATGGATGCTGCTAAGAATATAGATAGACGGTAATAAACCTTAAATGGCAGAATAAAACCATTTCAGTTTCTAAAACGTAATAAGTTACAAAATAGGTATCTTGTGATTTTATTTCTAATTTACAATTGTCACAGTGACACAAATATAATACACAGGTAGCAGTTACTTGAATAAGCCCTTTGATATACTTTTGGACTGCAAATGAACCTTACTGTACATGCATCGCAAAATTTTGTAACAATAAAACTATTAATGTAGCTAATAAATCTCGGCATGTAGTTAGAACATACCGGAAACTTACGACAGCTCAATATTGCAAATCAATGAAATTATTAGAAAAGAGATAAATATCAAAAGGGAGAATTAGCAAGAAAGATTATTGTACAGAGCTTAAGAGTTGACCGGCTCGTAATAAATTCAAGCGCCTTCACGTCCATTAGGTAGTGGAAACTTAATGAAATTGAAAATCCCAATCTTGCATTCACTTGTTTTGCCTTGAAAGCACACCTCATCAATCGATTCCTTGAACCAAGTAACTTTCCAAAACAATAACGCAATCATTTAGTCTATCTAGTTCTTGCATCATCTGCTTGATAGCATCATTATTTCTAATAAGAGATTGTTTTTCGTAAAGAGGTGTTGTAATGTGATTTCTATGTAACATATACAACCAATCTGAAAGAAGCTTCTCTCTAGAAAAAGTATTTAGTATTAGAGAATGCCGAAAAATTCATATTTATCGAATTGCTCAACTTACTTCGCTCCTATGCAGATTAACATTTGGAACTGAAACAGGGAAGTAAAAGAAAAATTATTTAGCAAGCAATAAAATTCTTCCGTGAGGCTATATAAAATACTATACCTTTAGGTCATTATTAACACTAATTTTCTCTCGATTAATGAGATTAATTAGGTAAATAAAGCGATTGCAAGCTACTCTGTTTACTTGAGATGGTAAGGTCCTAGAGAACCTGCTGGCTTTCTCTAAATTTAAAGCAATTTGTTGGTATCAATACATGTACAAATCAAAACATCTTAATTTTTATAATTCATACCGAAATAACTCCAGATATGTGAAAAGGAAAGTTTACTAGTTTGCCGAAATTTCTTACGACCATCCATTAGAATCTAAATAAAAATTATAACTAGCTTGAGGGAAACAATTCAAGTACACATGAAAACTCTGTTTCACAAACCATTTCAATTATAGAACATAGCCCATCTTCTTCACATAGTACATCCGTAGCTCGTGAATATTCCTTACAAGAAATATTTTAAAATTTTATAAGATTCGAAGTACAATATCATGTGGTAAATAATAGTAATACCTGAGTCGACGAAACTGGGAGCTGTAATACACGATTGATTGCACTTTGTAACTTTTTAATATTAACATTAACTATTTCGTTTTTGCTAACTGTAGCTACATCTCCATTGTTGTCTTGTATTAGCACGCGTGTATTATTTCGATCACTTTCAGTATCATAGCTCTTGTGCCTTGCCGCAATCTTAAGAGTTTCATTAGACAAAGATTTCCAGCTGACAACTTCGCCGTCAGCTTCTTTATGCAGACTATCTTCACCTTTAATGATCCATTGATTGTAGGAAAATCTAGAAAATAATCCGTTATGTCACATAACTAATATAAAATCCACATTATTAAAAATTGAACCTTATATACATAAAACTATACGTATAACAAACCTATATACTTGAAGAGTAGTTATGTCTTGCACGAAAACTTCTTCTAAATACCAGGCAGGTGTAAATCCTATTACGTAATTACTAAATTTACTTTGTATTTCTATAAAGGTCATATAGTTTCTTCACTTAAGATGATTAGCTCATATAGCTAGTAAAAAATACCACTGTTATCGTGTCCAATAAGCATCTTAGTCAAGCGCCCAAGGTTCATATGCTATTATGTAATAATTAGCATTTGTATCTTATTACACACCAAAATAAGAAAAGGCTGCATTAATAAAATTATTCGACGATATACCGTGATTTCAAAGACGTCTTGCTCTTGAGGTATATTTACAATATCGGATATTCTATGACTACCGAATATCTTAAGCCAGCACTTGGCGCTAGTCACTGCATGAGCTTCTTTTCCGTTTATTATAACAATACGATACATGTGATCTGAACAGCAACATGAAAAATAGTTTTTCAGCGAGAAGTCGATTATTTTTATCGTTGTAAATATGAAAAAATCTTTACAAACACTTTACCACATACCAAACGTTAAATAATAATCCGTAAAGCAGAAAAAGTCTACAGCGTTAAGAGACAATAAATGGTATAGAAATTGCTCTCTCTCTTCTTCGCCTACTACGAAGGCATTATCTTTGTAATTTTGGCTGTAATAAAATTTAACACGTCATCTATGTAAATATAATTCTGGAAATTCTTTTATTATTCATACCGAATGAAATCACATTTATATAAGAGCTCACGAAAGTGATCGGATAAACACTTTTTCTCTAAGCATAACCTATGAATATACGCATAATAGCTACATTATAAAAAGGGTATGAAAGTAAAACAATAAAAATCTGTTACCGTATGAACGCTCTAGTGAAACCAGAATCGGTTTCTATTTCATCAATCCTGGCAATAATGCTATATTAAAATACAAACAAAATACTATTAGCCTTGCTAGAAGTTTTATACAAATAATGCTTCTATTCACCGACCATAATTGACCTTACCATAGATCATTTAGTAAAGTTGAACGCCTGACTAATTTTTCAAGAATACCGCCAGATTCTAACTGTCCCGGCATAATTCTAGATATGTCTGCGAGACGGTTTTAAAAATCAATACTTACGTATGTCAAGTGGGAACTTAGAAAGATTACAGTTACGATAAATTATAAAGATTGGTATGTAATAGTAAAACAAGACAGCCAAAGTTTTAGATTATAACGAAAGTGATGACTTATGACTCGACGGTGTTTACCATTTTTGAACATTTTCCGGTCACAAGAAGCAACAGCGATAGTGGAAGACCTAGACCTTGGTGTTCGAATCGTGTCCTTGTAGCGTTGCAGATAAGTCCATATTACCGACGACCGACTCTAATAGACAACAAAAATCGTACCATACCATAAGCCAATTTGCCATAGTTAACATTATCGGATCAAATCATCAAATGCAGTGTTTACAACCTTTTTTAATTTTCCCATAATCTCATGTTTGAAGATTCGTTCCAATAATTCGATAAGACCAGCAATCAGCGTAGTTTCTTCTACCTCAATAGATCGAAGTCCTAAATTAACAGCATCTTTTCCAACCTTTGCGACAACAAGTCTGTTTGTCTACAAGGTAATATCGAAATAGATCTCATTATAACTCAAGATAAAGGCTTAATACATAATGAAATCCTAACGAATACCCGTTTTTTTATTTCTTTTAATAGTTTATCAATAATTTGACTGTTAGTTCCCTTTGTTTGACAAAACCAAGGCGATATCTACTCCAACGTGCATTCATTAGTGAACCTACAGCTTGTTTTACCTAAAAAATAGCAACCTATACTGTTTCCTTACAACATCCTGCTGTCGATTTTCCGATTGCGATCCTAAAGCAGCAGGTAATTCAACTTTGCGGGTGCAGACCTTAAACGGACCACTATTTAGAACAACTTCGTTCAATTTACACTCCAGTCCTTGTCCGGCCATTACGTGCCCTATTAGTATATAAAACCAAACGATAATTATATGCAGTTTACAGAACAGATCATGAATTTAAAATTATTTGTATATAGTACCTTCACTAGTGGCATTCTTACAGGATTCGTTTATAGAAACAGATATTTCAATTTCGGTGCTATCAGTTTCGAACGACTCTGTGAAGATAAAATAAACGTTGCAATGTTGATCTAAATAAGTAGAAAATCCCGTTTCATTAATAGCATTTATCATTTTCTTATATACCAGAAAGTGGTTCATCGACAAATGACGCTATGGACAATTCCAGAGAATGTTTATGGAACATCTTAATCTTATTCATAAAAATCATATGGTTACGATTACATGTTATCAAAGCATATTCGCTTTCAATATAAGAAGCAAACATCTGAGATTCTAAAAACGACGAATAGAAAGGCAGCCAATCTTTGTTTTGAACATTTAAAAAAGCCGATTTATCAAAATAGCATCCCGTATCTTTCATTTGATCACTTTCTTCTTGAAATATGAAAGCTTCAAAGCCAGCTAATAATCTGACAAAATAATTCAAAAATAAGCCTCGCAAAGATGCATTACATTGTTCCTCCAATAAAACCCTGACAGACTCTTCTTTTCGCTCATTCTCCAGTTTCTCTAAGGCAGATGACCAATTACAACATCTTTTTTGAGACCCACTTAATAATTCTACATTCGATTGATTTTGCATCTTCACATTGTCAGTATCTTTCGCATGTATGCATCTATCTTTTGTACCAAGATCAGCTGAACTATTATTTAAAACTGCTAGCTGAATACAATCTTGTATTGCGATAGAGAACATTGAAGAAGATGAATACTTCAAAAGCGATCTATTTGAGAACTTTTCGCTACTTTCTTGTACGAAATTTTCGATTTCGTCGATCATTTCTTGCTTAAATGGGATGGGCAATAAATCTTCCGGCAGATCTACAGTTCCACTATCAATGTCAACAAAGCAAACAGATGGCTAAAAAAAATATTAAGAGTCATTAAAACAGCTGAAGATCAAGATGTAAGATGATGTTACACTTAATAATTCATCAAATGAAGGAATCATAAAGGTCCATCATAGTAATTAATTTACACTTACTTCGCAGAGGAGACTTAACTTCGATTTATCGATTTGATTTCTATAATGAATACCCATGAGAAACGGAAATGGAGCCTCTAAAAACTTAATTAATGGCAACGGCAGAATCGGAACATAAGCATGAGGCCATGCAAATGGAAACAGTAAAGAGGACAGACCTTCAGCTACCAACATCAAACGATAATAATCTACAAGTGGATTAAGGTTTAGACTTTTTTAACATACGTGTAAATCTAGTTTTTATCTCTGTTTATTTAGCATACTGTCACTTCGAAATACGTACTATTTGAAACAGGATAATGTATATGGTACGTTGTAAGAATATAATTTATTTAAAATTAAAATTACTATGTTATACGGAATGATACCAATTCAAAATCTAAAATTTACTAGGATACAGTTATACATTTAGCGAAATTATAGTGAAAGTTTTTACACACTGCTAAGATCATATCACAACACGATATTATATTTTGTTGAAAATTGTAATCAATTAATTAATTAGCCAATACGAACCTGAAGAAAGTAATAAAATCTGTCGTTCAAATAACATGCAGCTAAAAATGTCCATAGCATTTCGAGCGCCTAACAGTCGAAATAGTTCTCGTAACGAGTATTCAAAGACTGGTAATTCATGCATCGGAGGATTCTTAATTGTTATAGGCAGTCCAGTACAGAGGCGTAATTTTACGTAATGACCGGCAGGCGGCGCTGGTACCTCATAGAGAAGGTGATAAATATAAGTCTCTACTGGCAGCGTTGTATCAGAAGCACCAGCAAACAAACCAGTAAACAGCTCTTCAATGATCTTACGATAAGCTTCGACGTGTTGAAATGATGTTATTAGAGCAATACACTTTGAAACGTATAAACCATCAACGTCTATATCAAAAGTTTGATGATTACTACTTGGGAAGTCGAGATCACTACGATTTATTTGCAGGGCTGATAATCTTCTTTTGTGTCCTTTAACCTGGTCAGAAACACTGTTTCCACTTTTAGGTAGGGAAGGACGCTCTAAATCAGCTTGATACATAGTGTATAAGGTCTTCATAGCTATGAGTATATCAGTATTGGTTACCTTCTCGTAAAACGTAACAGCATAACCAAATTCTCTACTGCCGTCATTATGAGTAATAATAAATGAATGATATAGTGGAGATCTACGATCGCCGGTAATCTTAAAGCTTAATCCCGAAGGTAAGCAGAGCTACAGTAACCAAAAGGAATAACTATTATTAGTAAGCTACAATATGCACATTTCTTGTAATCGTACATACATAATACATATTTACGATTAAGCTTTTCATGATGCTAATTAATAGCTACTCGTATTGTATCTTTGGCGATTATTACTGGAGTTTGTAACTAACAAAATCTATAAATAATCCGTTTTAATCCTACCATTCTAACAGCTTCCTTATCCAAGGGATTGCCATCAATAGCTTTTGGATAATGTTGAATGTAGTTAGCCTTATACGATCTTTCCAGGGGTGGCTTAGATAAATCATCATCGACACCTAATTTATAGAAATATCAAAGAATAAGATTCAGCGATAGCTAGCAAGAAATGTTTATTGATATACGCGTAAACATATACGTATTGTACGAAATTAGAACCGCTGCTCTGAAGCATTCTTAATTCAGTAAATTTATTAGAGGTGTTGAAGATGCCCACACCCGCACCAATTCTCCAGGCAACCAACCATTAACAGCATCTTACTGTACCAACCATAGACTACAGTAAGTACAGTACTGTTCGCTTTTTATTTTATTTACAATACTATACTGTACAGTACAGCATCAAATCTTGCTAGTCCGAAATAAACATTTAGTGATTCAGTCAGCTTACGATGTATGAATCACACTATGATTATATCAATCCTTCATTTTGAGAAGTAAGCTTATACTGATTGATTCAGTATCTCATTACCGACATAAATCGAATGAACTACTGTAATAATACCTTTGCGCCCGTACAGTTAGTGTACATCTTACGCTTACTATGAACAACCATGAAACTGACAGTATGGCACTGTAACTTACTGTACATTGTATGCGACTGTTTTATGAGGGTCATGTAAAGCGGATATGATGCAGAAACTGACAAATAACCAATCAACGCTTACAGGAAGCTACTACATACGTACAGTACTTACAGTTAGCATTTACATTAGTACAGTGGTCATCAAATTTTAGCGAAGGTGCATTGGTTTGATTGTATAATGCATATTTAGTATCTACTTTGGCAGTTGTGAAGTTATGAGCTACACAATTCCTGTATTAGTATAAATTACTAAGTAATGTAAGAAGCTACTGTAACCTAAAGTTATTTATTTCGTACTATATCAAAATAAAATTGTACAGTAAAGTAAAAAGTACAAGCGTAGCACGCAAAGTATAACGAGCGAGTATTTTGCAACTTCTTTCTCATTCACTCCAACATCTGAAATGAATTCAGCTCTTCCAATCCAACTCCAATCGTATCGGATTTCGATCGCAAACACTGTTTAAATGAGCGAGGACATTAATAACAATGTCGCGTTGTAAAGGTAAAAGACCATTGAGCCTGTACATAATTATAATAGAACGTTCAGATTTTTAACTTGATGTTCACCATCAAGTTAAAATCTGAACGGCCTGCAGTGTACAATGTACAGTACAGTAGCAAAGATCCCTGGTACAGTACAGTATGCGTACAAACAACTCCAATCGAGAGTCGAGGAACAGCTTTCCGTATTTGGACGCTGCAGGCTGCCCTATGGAGCATAGACTATCGACTTAGCAGTCAATGACTGCACCCAAATTAGGTAATATCAAGTTAATATGATAGCGGACGTAGTATATAAGTTAACCTAACCTATAAATTAACGCACAAAAATGTATGAATACTAATTGTTAAGCTGTATTTATTCTCCGTACGTTATAAATATGGAGAATGTATTTAGTTTACATACCTATATTATCCATAATTTCTAAGCCAATTTGCTCGTCTAAGCCACAAATAACGAAATAATCCACTAAGCCATCGATATGCTGCATCGCAGACATACTGTATGCTGTACGTTGTACCGTATACGGACAATATAGTCCAAACTAAGACAGAAATGAAAATTATGATTTTATAGTTCTGCAAAAAGCAGCCATGCAGAGAATATATTCATCTAGCTTTAACATTGACTAAGTATGACCAAAGACGTCTGCTTTTAAAAATGAAATCCATTTTATTAAATTAAAATTCTTGCAATGAAAGTCTACAGGTGCTGATATACTTTTTAATGTACAGTACTGTACTGTACACTACAGTACTCTACAGTTAACTCTAGTGTACAGTACTGTACTGTACTGTACATAACATATACTGTAGATGTGAGATTGGCTAACAGCACAGCACAGTCAGGGACTAGTATAAGAAAGAAATATTATTAGTATAGTGACTCAACAATCGTTGGCAGTCCCCTCCCGTCCCGTTTCTTTCTTCTTTTAGTACTACTGTATACTGTACACTACTGTATACTGTACAGTACATTATACTGTACTGTACTGTAGTAATCCCAAGCACAGTGTACCGTACAGTGCCTTCCAGTAGTGACTACCGTACTTAACTTCTTTTTTCATAGTTTTCATATTAAATATAGTACTTTAATTATAATTCATCCTATATTCCTGCCCAAAACTAGCCCCTTATTCAGTTACGTCTCACTACGCTAAACTGATGTTTCTATAGAGTAGTGGATTAGTTTTGGACACAAATATACGATGAATTATAATTAGAGTTGAGTACTTCAAAATGAGTAGTCGCTGCTTCCAGTCCTTCCAGAGTACTGTACACTGTACAGTGTACAGTGTACAACTGTACTGTACAGTACTGTACGTTTTAGCCATTACTGTAGACAGTACTGTAACACAGTACAGTATACAGTAGTACAGTACAGTACTCTACAGTACACTAGAGTCTACAGTACTGTATGTTACAGACACTATACTGTACTGTACAGTACAGTAAAAACGAAAAGGCGCAGGGAGTAAATCGACTAGTGTTTTCTGTAAAGTACAGTACTGTAGCAGTGAGAGCGGCAATTGATTCTTCGATTGGGAACATTTGGCTGGACAGTCTTAGCTATTACTGAAAGAGGTTCGGAAAAAGTAGGTGTAGTAATTATAAAGATTGAAAATATACGTATGAGTCAGTGGTCACGCCATAAGAATTACAAAAATTAAATTTTAATGTATCATAAGTTATTCCATGGACTTCTAGAAATACAATACTCGGCGAAGAACGAGTGTATTTCTGGAAGTCCACGGTTATTCGTATTGGAGTACAGTACAGTACAGTACTGTACAGTACAGTGATATTGTACAGTGTACTATACACTGTACATATCGAAGTCTTTACTCTAGGTCTTTGCTGTAGTTACTCTAGTTACTGTTTCAAATCAATTAAATTTCCTAGCAGCGAACTTCAGTATTATTTCTACGTTATATTTGAGGATCTAGCTATAACTAACATGGAAAACATTGGCGTATGGACCGAACACAAGGCACCCGACGATCGTATTTACTATTACAACACTGCGACTAAGAAATCACAATGGAAAAAGCCGGATGAGTTAAAAACTCGTGCTGAGGTCTACATCTTTGTAATAATTTCAAATTTTACATCCTGAGTGAGGATCCTTGAGTCCCCTTTGATAATGCTATCGATATCTGCTCTCTTAATTTTTACTTAGATAACAGATTTACATTATACTGTCTAGCTCTCTCAGAACTTTAGATCTGGAAGGATACGATGCTCTTTTACTGTAACCATAAGTTCATTAAAATACAACATAACTAAAATTTAGCGCAACGTACAACTCTACAGAGATACTTCCGTTATCATGCTCTTTAACTTTGAAGATTGCAGAGATGCGCAAAGCGTTTACTCAAAAACAATGAAATACTGTATCAATAAACTATTTAAATATTATAAAGTAACACTTCTGTCAGCTATGCATGTAAATATACGTATATATACTGTATTGCAGTTATTGATGGATTCTTGTCCATGGAAAGAACATGCAGCTGATAACGGAAAGACTTACTACCATAACATGGTAACTAAAGAATCTACTTGGACAATCCCCAAAGAACTAGAAGAAATCAAAGGTATCTTCAGTTTTTGTTTTATAGACTCTGCACGTTTCAAACGGCACAATTAATGAGTTACCTTATTCATCTGGTAATAGCTATGCTAGCTGGTGACGAAGGCCTTAAAGCGTAAGTATTTCGCAATTAAAATGAAAGTAATCTATTTTTATATAGTAATCATATCCGGTATGACACCATGACCTCGATGCTAAAGGATTCACTAAACATTTTGCCATTTATTTTCGAATACGTAAACTTAATAGCCAAACAAAAGCTCAAGCAAGTGGGTTGGAGACTGGAGAAAACACTGTACCTACACAGAACCAAAACCTGAGGTATCATTTAATAAATTTTTAACCACCTTACGATGGGATTAAAACCATATAATTTCTTGTCAGCGTCATACAAGCCTTTGTATTAATTAGACAGATATAAAGATTGTCTATACTGTATACTGTATATATTAAAATAATTTTATCCATGTGTACGTGTGTGTATATACTCTTCAGTACATACTATTACGAGTGAGGAGTCTACTAGTAACGATTATTAGTAATTGAAATACTGTCTTGCTGAAGATATTTACTAAGCTCTACTCCATTTTACAGTAGCACAGTCGGTCAGATGACGGAAGTAACTGAAAAAATTCAATACAGTAATAAAGACGAAGCTAAGCAAGCCTTTATTGGACTACTAAAAGAAAAAGTACGATATAAAATACAGTTTATGCCATTTCATTATACAGATTTTCTTTGCATCTAAATATGACGAATACAATTTTAGCAAATCCCGTCATACTATACCTGGGATGCTGTTATGAAAGTAATTGTAAGTGATCCAAGGTACGCTGCACTTCCTAAAATGAATGAAAGAAAGCTAGCTTTTAACGAATATAAAACGAAAAAATCAAAAGAAGAAAAGGTATTTGTAGCATAAGAATTATAGGGATCCATTAATACGATATAATATCCCGAGTTCCCTCCATCATCACCATTATGAGTAAAACAACAAAACATTTCAGCAGCAAGGGACTTAAACGTTTAAAATTTCCTCATTAAACAGGAAGAACAGAGAGTAAAAGTAAGATTAGCACGCGAAAGGTTAACAAATGCTATGTTTAATCATCCAAAAATGGGTTCTTATGTTCGTTGGAGGTAGTAGATGTATTCTTAATGCTATATTTATCTAGAGTTAATAAATTTCGAAAATTTTTATGATAATAAAATTCAATTTGAACGATTTTTAACAATATTTCTGACAGACAAGTGTGCGAGTTATTTGAGAAAGAGCAGTACTGGCAAGATATTCCAGAAAGAGATAAACGAGTAATGCAAAATATATTATTGATTCCTTTTCTTGGCTCTTTAAATTTTAAGTTATCTCTTGATGTATGTTGTAGGACATTTATGATGATATCATTATTCAATTGAGTAAAAAGGAGAAAAAAGAAGAAGAAGAAAAGAGAGACAAAGATAGAAATAAAATTTTGGCATTACTTCGTACTATAAGTGAAATAACTTATAGCACTACTTGGGGCAAAGTAAGTATTTTACGTATACGTACACTTACATCTGTACTTTTATCAGATACTAGCGTGAATCCTCCACAACAAGTCATACAACCGATCATTAACAAAGATACACTATTCTATTTACTGTTAGGCTCAAGAAATTCTTGATAATGACAATACTTTTAATAATGATTGCAAAGGTAAAATTCTATTAAATGCAGACTTTACTAGAATAGTTATGACCGTAATTTGTAGTTAAATAGTGCTTGAGTTAACGTAAGCTACTCTAAATAAATTTAATCTTAGATATCGACAAATTGGATACATTATTTGCTTTCCAGGATCATATAAGAGAGCTAGAAAAGGTAAGGGTATAGGATATGGATATAGTACGCATATAATAACTGTTTAACCGATATTATATTAGCAAGAAGAAGAAAACAGGTTAGCTGAAAGAAACAATAGAAAACGCCAAGAAAGAAAGAACAGAGAGAGTTTTTTAGTACGCGGCCAAATGCATGTTAAACTCTAGAATTAACATTGATATTAAGTAGAAAACCCTATATTTTTTGAAATATTAGAATTTGCTAGATGAACTTCATACAAATGGTAACTTGGATGCTAATTCTGCTTGGAAATTATTATTTCTTGTTATTCGTACTGACTCAAGATTTACGGTCATGCTAGGACAGCGAGGTAGGCAATGCGATATCCGTAGTTTTAAATTTGGCATGCTCCGTTAATTTCATTTAACCCTCTGCATAATATAGTATTATTCAAACCCATTACAGGGTCATCTCCATTAGATTTATTTAAATTCTATGTTGATGACTTAAAAAACCGATATCACGATGAAAAGAAGATCATAAAAGAAATCTTGAAGGTTAGTTGACCAGAATCCCAGGTTTGCTCCGAAGTTGTAGTATTTATAGCGTTAGCTAAAGCACTGCTACATTCTTTAACAGGATAAATTCGAAGTTGAAACAACAACGAAGTTAGAAGTATGGTAGTATTCCTTAGCCTCTAATTTATGTTCAAGAACACATCATAAGCTGTTAACATATACATATCGTCAATCTAGGAGTTTTTTGAAATCATCACTTGTGACCCGAGATCTCAAACCTTGGATAAAGGCAATGCCACAACTGCCTACTATAGTGTATGTTTTGTACTATTTGTCCTTTATTATTGGTGTTTATGGTTAAGTTAGCTATCTATTAATCTACAGTTATTAGAGAAGGCCGAAGCAAGAGAAAGAGACAGACTAAAAGCCGAAGAAAAAAAGGTAATGAGATAAGTAGTGATATGTTTTCAACTAAGATAGTAATAAATTAACTATGGTATTTAATATCATTTGCACTGGCTGAAACGATATTGAAAATTTTGCGTTCGTAGATGCGTCGTTTGGAGGGAGCATTCAAAGCTATGCTTAAATCTCATACACCTCCTATACTGCTAAACGCGAAATGGGAAGAGGTTAGAACTTACGAAACCACATATGAATCTCATACAATTTATGTTATATAAGTATTAATCGTAATAGCAAATACCTAAATAGAGAATCTAATAGTCTCTACTCCCTTTATTCTATTGTATTTGTGCAGCAATAAATTTTTATCTATTTTAATATACTGATAAAAATTGAACCACTCATTATTTAAAACAGTACCGTGAAATTTTTATTAACAATCCGGCCTTTGAAGCAGTTACTATTGAGGCAGAACGTATCAGATTGTTTGAAGAGTTTATAAATGAACTCGATGGGGTAAAATTTTATTAGTTTAATTGCACTGTCTTGCACGAAATTTTATTTGATTAACCAATACTGAAATTGTAGGGCAAAGGTGATCAATCAGTAAAGCCAAGTCATCATAAATCAAAGAAATCGAAGAAACATCGGAATAAGCGATCAAGATCAAGATCTGTAAGTAAATTTGTGATTAGATCTCAAATGCTGCATATATTTCAGAAATTATCCTGAATTAAACCATGTTTTTAAACGGTAAAGATATCTTATTCCGATGATGAAGAATCCAGTAAGAGATCCCGTAGAAAATCGAAAAAACATAAAAGATCAATATCTCGATCTAGATCACGATCGCCCGCATCAGATTCCGGTACTGCTTAGGTTTGTTGATATTAGGAAATGGCCTTCTAATGTAATATTTTTCAATCAATGAATAGATCATGACAGCAGGAGGAGAAAACATAAGAAGGTGACTTGCCCTCCATCTCTTAATAAATTATCTAATTTATGACATTAATAATCTTCAAAATATTCTATCTCCCAGAAATCAAAAAAACGTCGACGTCGATCTGTAAGTCAGGAATACTTCAATTGCTAAATCATGTCCTTACGTTTCTAGCACAGTACCAGTGCTCTCAGCTAACGTCCTAAACACGAATTATATAATTATCAACGGTCTCGCTTATGTTACCATCATAGCATTCAAGTGATTCTAGCCGATCTGCAGAAAGTCGCCGTAACCCGAAATCACCAAGTAGAAGCCCTCGAATATCAAAAGGCGTAAGCGCATTTTTATCCAATATAATCTTTAGGCCAATTTACAGCCATCAATGTACACTTCCTTTGTAGTAGCTTTGAACTAACCCTTACTCTTACCAATGCCGATTAGTCCATTGAAGATACAGGACACAGCACAAGCGAAAGTGAGTTAGAGACAAGAAGACGAGAATTATTAAAAAAATTGGAGGAGACAAATTAAGGAAGAACCAATTCAGATACGCTTGAATTCAACAATCTGAGACAAAAGTTTTTGATTTCATGTACGTTAGAGCATTGCAATTCATTAAAATAATTAAATCTTTACTAGTATTTCCTTTCTTTACAACACTGGCCGACCGCTAGCTGCTGCAACTGTGTCATTACATTACTATCTGTCTATTGTATCATTTAATTATTGCGTTAATAATAAAGGGATCATTAACTTCCGTCTATATTACTTCAAGCAGTAATGTAATTATTGACTCTATAGCTTGCCAGAGACTTGATGCATAGTCCGTTTTGTATGCAAGAATTAATATTTATAAACTGAAACCATTATCGTTGCCGGTTAATCCAACAATAATCGTTGTTCAAGAAAAATTAGGCAAAATATTGCCTACAAAAATTAAATTTATTCCTAAAAAGTCGGATTCCGGAAATCCATCTAAAAGTTAAAGGCACTAAAAATCGCTTCATTAACGTTTACTTAAGTTGTTATGGATTTACAGCTAAACCAGAGAATTTATTATTAAAGATAGCCTAGCCAGCAATGTGATCACGATTCATTTATATATATTCCTTAAAATTTGGCTTATCACATGATGATAAGCTAGGGATGTGTGTATGTAATAGTTCGCGTAATCGCACAAAGGATGAATAATGAATTCGCAATTTAAGACTAGAACATTAACATCAAACGAAATATGTAGAACTTTGTACTAGAGTGCAAGATAGCCTTTTGTTAGTAGTATATCCTCATAAGGTTGGTATCGTAAAGTTTATCGTAACTATGCATACCATATACTGTACATACGTCCTATGCAAGCGTTAAAATAAGGAAGTACATTCTTCCGTAGGAATACTGTACAAATTTACTCGTGTAGTTCGCTCTATAGAAAGAAAACCACTAATAGCAGTATTAGTATGTTCACTTTGAATAATTGCGAGCAAATACGCGCATTTAGGAAAGCTACTCAAGTCTAGTTAGGATCTTGCATGCAAGTATGCACAGGAAGTTTATATGCAGAATTTTGTTCGATAGATCTTGCAATGTATTTTAAGAAAAATAACTTCTCAGCTATGTACTCTTATTTTTAGATATCTAATACCTTATACTGTGTGTACCGACTAAGGTAGCAACATTTATTTACTTATATATGACGAGTACGTAGTATATATACACGTATTTTACACTATTAGATGACATGATTGCATACTTGCTATTTCTAACGTCTAAATGCAATAAAGTAATGATAATTAAAATTATTTCATAATTTTATAGGCAAAATATTAACGAATTCAGTGATACTTTATTCTTATACAAATATATTTTCTGTATCTACCTACGAAACTGTATTCTAAAGTATTTTCAGCTTTTATATAATCTTCATGACCGTAAGTCTGCAAGCGACAAGCAAAACGGTTAACAAACTGCCAGCATTTAGCTTTGTTATACACAATATGGCTTAAATAATAAAGATGTAACTACGAAGGATGACGTCTACGAAATTGGCTGTCCTCAAATAAATATAACAAAGGTCGTATAGTGCGTAGGTTAGACATCGGTTACCATGCCAAGAACAAGTCTGCGCTAGTCATTACCGTTTGGACGCAAGCTTATCTCTCTGCGCGTCTACGTGTAGCGCATACGGTGCTGTATTGCATACTGTACATTTAGACTTGAATCACCAATCCTGGCTTAGGTAGTCATAACAGTTGACCAACGCATCAATAGGACTGTTCACAAAATTAATATGCAATATCACAGCGTCAGTTAATAGTTACGGTTACTGAAATCAAACTTAATTACTGGAAAAAGCGTATTTAAATTCGTATTGTATCATATAATGATCTAATGTATTTGAAGTCTTCCTAGATCCTGTCAATCAAAGAGTGTCATAACTGTCAGTTCATCAATGACATCAAAAATTAAAATGTGAATAAGCGACCTACGTATATTAAGAGAGTTTCGCTAGGCAAATTTTGGCATAAGTAAATAGACCGTATAATTTGCATGATATTAATAATTCTAACTTAGGTAATGTATCAATTCTAATGGATCAATTATGCTAAACTAATTAGCTGTAAAAATGCACTTTATAATAACCAAGGCTTTATTAAATTAATTAAGCACTTTCAAACAGAATTAAATTAACGCCTTTGGAGAATAATAAAGAATTAATTGTAGCCATTATTATCGTATACGAATAATAGTATAGCTAGTGCGAGGTGGGCAGTTTACTTTGCAACAAAATAAAATTGCTTACTAATGATGAGAATATTTCAGGGATTGTTATAATTAAATAGTTTTAGTTACTATTAATATATTTCTGTCACTTATGAGTCACGTACTAAACTACCCATTGTTTCTTATTCTGCATTTATCATGAGGTCAAGACAATATTACTAAATACGCTCTCAAAAATTTTTAAAGTTAATAGAAATATGTTTTAGCTTGATTTCATCTTTTCGAATGTAAACATAAGACCACTGTTATGTAAATAATGTATCGAACGAGCCATTGTAGTTAAGGTATATTAAGGTAACCCTCTGCTAATTTGCAACAATCCCCCGAAAACTTCAAGTTACTGACGGTAAGTATCACTTTAAATTTTATAGAGATAAAATGATATTTTTTACGTTTTATTTATCAATTTAAAAAAAACTAAAGATTATATTATCGTATTATCTAGCCTAATTCTTGTAGTCCTTTCTAGAACAATACGATAAAAATTCACTTCCAAGATTTAAGTAGAAAGAGTTTAAGATAATGTTACAGTAAATGTATCACAATTTAACGGGTGAAAAATGTCTGCAAATTATTATTTCCGTACAAGTTTAGAATTGTGCAGTTATTATAAGAATTTTCTGTTCTTGTCACACAGGTTGCTTAAAGCAATAATCGAAAGATCTTCGGTAAACATTTAAACTCATTTCTGCGAAATCCATCAAGACTTAAGATCCAACATGCATTTTCCGTGGCCCAAGTGGTTGATCTTCTGGTAAACATTTTGTTGTCGGCCAAGAATAAAATCTAAAGTAAGTATGATTACTCATTTTTTAAAAACGTACATTAAAATCAGAACAAAAGTAAGAGATTGAGATTGCCTCCATGTACGATAGTCTGATTCCCATGGAACATTCAAAGTAGCTATCTGTTTAACATTTTGTTAATCAAGATTTTCTGTAGTAAGAGTTATGATAAGAAAAAAGCGGAAATCAATCTGTAGCAGTTTTTTTTTGTTGTAGTCCTATTTATTTGCCGCTTGAACTACTTAGTTTAATATCGTCATCCGAAATGAATAATATAATGTAAATATTAAGATATAAGTCTGAAAAAATCACAAATTTCTACTGTAAAATTAATCATGATTGGGTATGTCTACGAATTTTCTACGCAAATTTAGTCTCAGCTTATGATACCATTTAGACTGTATCGAATTAAAGAAAGTTAAATTACCCCTACTTGACAGTTCATCGTACTTTCCAATAGAGAGAAGTGTACACAACTACAGAATTTAGTAAGTAGAAAAATATGATGTTAAGATCAGGGATTACTAAAAAGAAAGAGACTAATGGGAAATTGTCGTTCATAATAACAAAAATCTGGAGGCTGATTATTTTACTTGTCATTTCAACTGTATTGAATATCTACGGCGTTATACTAAATTATCCGTAATTGACATCTAATGATCTAAATTAGCTGCTAACATGGTGCTAAGTTGGTTGTATGCAGTATGGTACACGGTTTTATTGACTCCGTATGGTAGAATGACCGGGAAAATGATAAGCCTCCGCATTGTTTTGTACTGAAAAGTCGTTCCCGTCTCTCTTTTTAGTAGCTCGTGATTAAACTTACGAAACCATGGAATGTAAACATTACTTAATGTTAAATATGTTGTAGATCTTACGCATTACCAAATCGTAGATATCGCATTCCTAGGGTAATAGCAATAACCAGTAACCAATTTTTATCTTACATACCATATGACTATATACTGATAACTGGATCTTACGGCCTAGCAAGAATGCAAAATTATTAACAGTTGCAGTCAGTTAGTTGACAATAAATGTTTCATACAACATCTTATTATTATCTTTATTTGATTCAGAATTTTATCAAGCATGGATATCACATGGCCTGAAAGTTAATAGCGCTCTTAGCTAGAATATAACAGCTATTGGAGTCCATTTCAATCTTTGCATAACCTAGAATAAACAAATAAAGGCGATACAATAAAAAACTATTGTATTACATAATGCGGATTGATAACAATCAAGAGTAGCTTCGTAAATTTTACATAACAAAAGTGAACTATTTTAATGATTGAAATGTGATATCATAATAATCTGAGGCTAATTACGTTTTCGACTGTATTGTTTCAGTAATTGTAAGTCAATAA